AGTGCGCAGATGGGAGTACATTTTAAGAATGTCGTTACCTCTGTGATTTACCAGTCAATTATAAAAGGTATCTTGGTTTTATCTTTTGTTGCCAGAAAATCGGATATTCTTTGGCATCTTGAATATGACCTTTGCGTATCTTCTCTCGTATTTCAATCGAAATATTTTGCATGTATGGGTAAAGTCTTGACACTCGGTGAAGAAAAACAATCCTTTTCTCAAACTAACACCACATCCACTTGTATCTACCCAGAGTTCTATACAGCTTGAGTTTTATCGGCTTGTTAGAAAATTCAAGTAGTGAGTGTTGGGAGTTTTTTGAACTCAGTTATTCCAGAAAGTAAATATTATCAAATAAATGCTCAAAAGCCGTGTTACAGAGACGCAAATGTCAGACCAAATCCCATAGCAGTAGAGTTAGTAGACATATTAGCAGTAATCAGACAGATTAGGGTTAGAGGATATTATTCAAGAAGTACAATTCATTGAAGTAGATTCGAGATGAAAACAATGAAGGCGATGAGCATTTCAGAAAATAAGAATTCGAGAGAACACAAACAACAAATGTAGCTTAGGGTAGTCAGAAAACTGCATTTGTCAGCGTCTTCGCCAAACAGAACTATATCATCGTTATATTATAAGTCAACAAGCGATTTTCCTGGTAGAAGTTCCACCCCTGAAAAGTTAGATGAAGATAATATTATTTATTAAAGCATGTCTATGAAAAAGTTAAACAAGAATAGAGAGAGTGGACATCCCTGACGGACATCACTTGAAGTAGAGAATTCCGATGACAGTTTGCCATAAGTTCTCACTCGACTAGTGGAGTTCGAGTAGAGAACTTTCCTAAGACTAATGTACTTCTTTGGTACACTGTTTAATGACAGATGCTACCACAGAACCTTAGTTGCTTTAAGGTTAAGAAATACTGTAATTACGGTGCGCCAAAACGTGTGTCTTTGTTGTAGGATATGACATAGTGTGAATATTCGGTCCTTGCATCCACGTCCAGATCGAAAACCAGCCTGGTTTTCTCTAGTCTGCTCTTCACGGAGCTTTAGTTAGGCTTCAGAGCATTATTGAGGCCAATATTTTTGATACATTTTTAGTTAGACTTATTCCTCTGTGATTGTCACATGAGGACTATTATTGTTTCTTATAAATTGGGACCATCAGCGATTGAGATCAGTCAGACGGTTTTACGTCAGTTCACAAATTCTATGAACTCAGTCAATGTGACTGCTAATACTGGACCCGCACCCTCGAATATTCCAGGACTAAGCCTATCAGGACCCGCTGCTCTTTTTCGCTTCAGATTTCCTATAGCTTTCTCAACTTCGTAAAGTCCCGAAGGACTTATGTCGATTCGCCATTCAGGATGACTGGAAATCGTGGGCACCAAAAGTGTGGCTGAAGGCCAGTTGAACTGATCCCTAAAGTGTTTTCCCTATCGATCCAATATCCTGGATCGAGAATGGATAATAGTCTCATTCTTTACCGAGATAGTTTCACTTATAGTAGGATTCCTAATACCGATTTCCTCGATAAGTAGGAAAAGTTGTCTGCTGTTCCCTATCGCCACTGCCTTCCATCGTTCTCGCTTATTCTCCCCGCCACCGTTCACAATCATTGTGTAGACTTCTTATCAGCCTGCGCTTTAGCTGACTTCGCTCTTTATCAAGTTCAGAGCCAGGTGGGATGAGTTTCCGAGCGTCTATCAGTTTGGTAGATGCTACTGAGATCCATGGCTGATCCCTAACCTTATAACTTACCTTAATAGCAGATATCACTGCTGTTTCCACAGCTTTTCCGATATCATTCCAAGTTGCCTCGAGATGAGAACCACTTACGTGGCCGCCTAACCGCTCTTCTAGTTGCTCCTGAATTATATTCTTAGCTATGTTATCGTTAAGTAGAACCGTAAGAGGTTTAATTGCAGTGTCTTTCTTGCGTCCGGTGAGCCGCAAACAAATACGAGCTCGCACTAGGGCATTATCTAAATCTAAACCTGTGCACCAGAACCAGAACAGTCCTCTGTTGAACCCCTCCATCGGTGGCTGATTTTGATGTGATCTAGTTGTGTCCATTGTTGGGTCGGCTTTGGGGGTCGCCAGGTGGAGATTTTTGCCTTATGTTTAAAGTTAGTGTTTGCTAGAAATAGTTGGTTATCTGAGCATACTTGCAGCATACTCACCATTTTCTTTTTGATCAGCCGCGACACCATAAAATCTACCCAATTGTTTTTCTTTTCCATTTAGTCTACCTACTTGAGCATTAAAGTCGCCAGCCCTTATTACTACATCAGAGCGCCTAACTTTTTGGAGGAGGTCCGGAAGCTTTCCGCAGAACTCGTCTTTCACCTCGTCTGAACTTCAGTCAGTGGGGGCATAGGCAGATACGACGAAGAGGCGACGACGTGTATCCCTATCTTTCCGAGTGCTTAGTTGGATGGCGCACAATCGACTATCTCCTAGGATCCGCTGTAGGAGAGCTAGTTTTACCCTACAACTGAATGCTATACCTATACCAGCGAGACCCCGGGAGGCAGCCTCAGGGCTTCCAGATACACGAAGAGTATGTCTAGCTAGTTCTTTATTGTCAAATTGTGAGGTCAAGTGAATGACGCTACTTGGATCTTGTGTGCGCGCTTCTGTGACGCAGCATACATCGATGGCGCGAGATTTTCAAGTCCTAGCTAAATAAGCCTGTTGCCTCATTTGACACAGTGTTCGGACATAGAAAACACCGACATGTACTTTAGAATGGGTTTCTTTAGGAGACCAGAAATAATGTTTCGTGAACTCGAATCGTTTGCATTACCAGTGCAGGGTGATAAAGGAATGTGAGAAGGGGGAATCGTGGAGATAAGAGAGATAATATATGTTCTAGTAGAATCTTCATCAAAATATGCCGCTTTTATTCTTGTACTCTGTCTTGTCCGTGTTTTATATAAGCCGACAGAGTACTTCCCAAAACTTTTCAAAGTGGCGGTCATAATGGAAGGTAGGTATTATATATAAAGATTTTTGCTTATCACTTGAAAAAAATCTTCGTAAAGGTCAGTTAATGTTATGTTGTTGTTAGGAAACGGGTGCTAGGTAAGAGTGGCAGATCAATAGATGAAGTGGTGAAACTTCATCAGTTGAGGTAGTTGGGACACGTACTGCGTATTCCTAACCACCGACTGCCTCGACGAGCTTTGTTTTGTAGTGTAGGAGTAGGTTGGAAGAAAGTTAGGGGCGGCCAGACCAAAACATGTCAGAAATCCATGAAGTCATTGACGAGTTAGTTGTGGAGAGAATAGAGGTATGTGTGGGTGTAGGAAGGATTTGATTTCGACCAATTTGGTCTCTCGTGCTGTTACGGGTATGAGGGCGGTTGTCACTTCCCGGCTGCCCACACCGTGGAAGGTTGTTTCTTGAGGGACCTGAAAAGGAAGATAGATTAGTGTTGGCCTTGGAGACCTGGGAACGTGACGTCAGAGTCCAAGGGACAACTGCTTGAGGCCGGTCACGCACGGCCTTTTTATGAAAGGTATTTTGAGGATTAGCCTCGTTCTTAAAGGCCCTTAGTGGGCACTCTTACCCAAGGAGACGGAAACCCGTGATGTAGGGTGAGGTGTGACATTTTTAGGGCCGACCTTTTCTAACCCTTACTTGTATCATCAGTGCCGATGGCCTGGTGACTGACGAAATCTCAGCTCGGATACAGAAAGCTCGATTGGCTTTTGCCAACCTGCGTCACTTATGGCGTAGGCGAGATATCCGTTCTCTAATCAAAGGACGAGTGTACTGTGCAGTGGTTCTCTCCGTCTTACTTTATGGCTGTGAACATGGCCAGTGAGAGTAGAAGATATTCGTAGGTTACTGGTTTTCGATCATAGGTGTGTTCGAAGCATTGCTCGTATATCGTGGGACACCCGAGTGAGCAACGCTGTTATTAGGGATCGGGTGCTAGGTAAGAATGGCAGATCAATAGACGCAGTAGTGACACTTCATCAGTTGAGGTGGTTGGGACATGTGTTGTGTATGCCCAACCACCGACTGCCTCGTCGAGCTTGTAGTGTAGGGATAGGTTGGAAGAAAGTTAGGGGCGGCCAAACCGAAACATGGCAGAAGTCCATGAAGTCATTGACGAGTGGACTTAGCCATGTCGGTAATTGTCGACTGCCTGGTTGGGGTCCGCGAGATGATAATAATCGATGGTTAGAGACCTTGAATGACATGGCTCAAAATCGTTCGCGATGGCGGCGGTGCCTTTATTCTTTGTGTTTTTTCAAATTCTAATCTTCTGGGTTCTTCAACAACTCTAGTTTTGACTCTCTAAACTTTTCTCATTGAATCATGTTTCTTGAATAATATCTTCTAACCCTAACCTCTCCGATTACTCCTAATACCTTTACTACCTCTTCTAATATTGGATTTGAATCGACAATTACATCTCTGTTCTGATGTGGTATGGCGACATGAACTGATGTACTTACGTACGAAGTTCAACGTTGCATCTGACTGACTGACTGACTGTTAATATTATGTTGATATCTGTGTAGAATGGTGATTGGTAGATTCGCTGGTTGATAACCAAACACAGTTGTCCGTCTTAGAATTAATTAATAGTTATCGTGTGATATCTTTGAAAAACCTGACCAGAAACCCGCCACCTAAACTACCTTGCCAGACTAACATGGTTGGATTTTCGTTTGAAAAAAAGTCAGGTAAATCTATTCGATCAGAAGTCCTCTTGATAAATGCGTTTCATATTAATGTACTTAGAAAATGTACAATATGTACCCTCGTATCACATTGCTAAACGTTTACTCTTGGTTAAGCTTTCGTTTCACTACTTTAAGACAAGTTTTCTACATATTTATTAAAAAGGTCTAGTCATAAAGTCTATCCTAAATCCACATTAAAATCTACCTCGTATTTACTTTATCATATTGGTAATATTCTCTGATGCAATTACTTCCAGGAGTAATTGGTGTTCTGTAAGCCGCCTAAACCACCTAACATGGTGTATTCGACAAGTTTAAAAATTATCAGCTACTTTTTTCATGAACTATTTATCTTCCAGATTGATTCCTCATTTTCTCGACAATTTAGTTCCGTGGGTCATCTACCTGTCGTATACAAATGTCTTTGGATGTACTTTTAAAATGTGATTTTTCCGAGGCTGAATTTCCTTCTGATTGGATACGAAAGGCCCTGTTTTCAATTCCATCTAACCTCCGTATTGTTGTCATCGGGATTCAGACTAGGATGCTTGTTTTTGGAGGCAATGATGTAATATGTTTAGTCATTTGCTGTAGGATTATCTCGGAATCCGGACAAGTATATCCTACTTTGTGAACTGAAATTTCAAAGGTAAGAAAGTGTAAAATTTTAAACATTTTTAGTTGCATCAAAGCAATTAGTTGTTTGTATTTTCCTTCGTAAGAAAATTTTCTAGTTGGGACCAGAGATTTAATTTTAGAGATGGTGATATCCCTATGTGGAATGTTTATGTCGTTGGACTTGAGAATGGTGAACTGTTATTTATACATGAGGTAGACATTCCCGTACTATGATGATAACTTATATTTCTTTCTCAGAATAATGAAATTCTTTTGTGTATCAAAACTGGATGTGATTCTGTCAGGTCGATTCATTTGACTTCATATGGTGTAAGAATATTATTTCATCTCATTTTCAGTAGGAAAATTTATGTGTTTTACATAAAACAACAATTGTTTGCTTTGATCTTGACGACTTGAAAGATGTTTTATCAAATAGCAACACTTATTTGTCACATCGTTCTCTTGGGTCTAACGGAAATTCCACGTTCCAGTACACAATGACAATTCGTTATCGATTGTTGACAATTCCAACTGATGGCGAAAATAAATATTGTTCTTGTTTGTGTAAGTATACATTTTTAAATCAGATTGTTCCAGCCAAATATAAAATGGGGATTTTCGACTCATTTGTTCGGAGGTTCGCCTTTGAGTCGCGCTTGCATGACGAACAGACGTGTGTCTCACCTATTCAAACTAGGTGGATAACAGCTGGCTCTAATCCATTCATCAGTTTCAGTTTTTTGAATGAGGTAACTTTGACTTCGAAGTTATTTTTATCTAGTTTAATGGTCATTTAAGTATTTATAAATAGCCTTTGGATTCTATGTTTCTCTCCATTTCCACTTATCTTACTTCAAGGTTGAATGTTTTTTTGCAGAATCCAAATCCCGAAGTCTCTCATTTTGCATCTTTTGTCTATCAAGAGGCTAAACGTGCCATGTTCGGTGTTAAAAGGTGAGTTTGATGTCTTTACTTTGTTCCTGACCTACCACTTTTTGTGATACAGATATTTTCTTTATAATAATGATACTCAGAAGTCCACATTTTTGTGTTGAAGTCTTCCCTGTATAACTTCAAGTTTGCTTTTATGATGTGCTTAGTAAATCCTTTTGTTTTGAAATCCATCTTTAAGCATAGAACCGGGGCAGCCTAGTTTTAAAACAAACAATGAAACTGAACGCAGTGTCACTTGTGTGGTGTTGTTATTTTACAATACTACGTACGTACTCCCAACAACCGATAGATCATCATTGTAGACCATAATTGCATTTAGTGAATAAAGGCCTTTTACTTAACACGCTAATTGTTAAGCCCCTGTTTTCTGCTTAGTATTCTTCTGCCACTTATTACTCATGACCACCATCTAACTCGCCTGATTCCCAAATTAAAATACGACTCGGACAGAAGTATGCAAATATTTCAAACAACTCGCAGCCTAAGTTCAACATAATTAGTAAAAAATGTCATTATATGTATAAGCCTTTCCCAGTACTCTAATCTTATTTCATCCACTATTTCTGAATGGTTAAAAACGGATCAGTTATCGCACTCCTATGTGATCCTGTTTGAAACGTGCTTCAGTCAGTCAGATGCCACGTAGAACTTCGTACGTACGTACATCAGTTGCCATATCGCAGCATAGAGACGCAATTGTCAATTCAAATCTCATAGTTGTATAGGTATTAGAAGTATTCGCGATAATGGAGAGGATTAGGGTTCAAAGATATTATTCAAGAAGTATAATTCAGTGAAATAAATCTAAGAGAAGAAAGACAGAGGTGGTGAGGAGTTCCGAAGATTAGAATTTGGGAGAAGACAAAGAATGGATACATCTGCGCCATCGCAAACGATTTTGAGCTATGTCATTCAAAATCTCTAACCATCGGTCACGATAATCCCATATCTGTTCTTCATAACACAGACTTTTTATAAGCTGACTTGAATGACCTTCTGATTCTCGAGTAGGCATATTTCATCTCTATAAAACATTATTAAATCCGTTAACGAATCTGTAGTGATTGCTGATCTGTATATGCCCAAATGATAACTTGACTAATCTGTAAAGGAAGACATTTTGTGTCATGGTCGACATGGTGATCCAGGTGAATACCCTCCTAAGTCTTGCGCTTGACAATTACCCCCTATTTTTAATCTCTCTAATTAATCTCTTTTCGAACTGTGCTCTATGACTTTAGTCTTTTGCTATTCATCTTGTTGATTTATTTTGTGTGCTGTTGTTGTTAGTGTAACCTGCTCTAATACACACTTGTCCAAAGCTCTTTGTTTATCATGATTTGTTGTCCATGTGGTTGCTAATGTTTTCTTTTTTTATTTGTTATATTGGCTCGCTCACCTATAGATATTCTAATAATGATTCAGGATCATTGGCTGTAACATGGTCACAACAGAAAGATAACTTAATGTATCCCACCGTTATATGTAATGCCTTTTCAAAAGATCCTTTGAGTTTGTCTCATGGATTGGCTGACAGCCGTCGCCATATATTATCTTCGGGTGTTGCTATTTCACCTGACCATCATTGGTTAGCGGCTCCAGATAGCCTCGGACGAGTTCTTCTTGTAGATGCTTATAAGGAGCGTGTCGTACGTATGTGGAAAGGTAAGTGATCGGATTTCCTTTTACCATTTATCTGAAAACGTTCATCATTTCGCTTATATATGTGTGTGACAGTTCCATACTAAAGGACAATCAAAAGTTGAACGTTTAGTCACATAATCATGCAAGAAATTTGTTCATTTAAATAAAATGAATCCTTTTTTTATTGCAAATTAAAATATGAAATTATAAATTTGATCGCAATCTTATAATGTCTGGCTAATCGACATCGAATAATACCGGCTGGTTATTGAATATTTTTTTTTATGAATTAAAAACTTCAGTTTTCTCCCATGTGTACCCTAGTTTTAATCCTTCGTATATGATTTATAAAGCCTGTGATGAAGCGATTGTTATATGATAGTATTATTTTTCCAGTCGGTCCATGGACTTTTCAGTTAACTATGTTCTTGCTTGTGTAAATTTATGCTGAATATAGTTGTTTCATTTTAAACGAGTGAAATTTCCCAAAACAAAAATTAAAACTTAATCAATTTAAGAGCAACTTAAATTAATCTGACTACCTAGTTGATGTAAATTACTTTGTTTTAGAAGGGTCATTAAAAAACTCTCATACTTAAGAAATGTATCAAATGTTATCTAATTAGTTTATGATTTGTATTAAAAACTTATGTTATTAGGTTACAGAGATGCTGAGGTTGCTTTTCTTGAAGTATCTGACTATGAAGCTCCATACATTGGCTACTGTAACTGGTCAAATAATCCAATTAGAAAGACGCTTTGTTTATTAATTCATGCGCCGCATCTTCATTCATTGGAACTTTGGTGTTTGATTCATGGACCACGTATTGTTTCATGGGATGTTGTAGAACCAGTTCGGCTTATTCAAACCGAGTGTCAAAATTACACGGATATTCCTAAATCAAATAAATTAAGGTGAATATTTGTATTTTAATATTTTAGTTATTTATTTTATACTTCAAAGCATAAAATAAATAACTAAAATATTAAATATTATACTTCAAAGAACAGACAATGGCGACCGCCTGTTGCAAGTATGCTCAGATAACCGCCTATTCTTAGAAAACACTAACTTTAGGCATAAGGAAAAGCATCTGTTGACCTGGCGACCTCCAAAGTTGTCTCAACGTTGGACGCAACTAGATCAGATCGCCATCAGCCACCGATGGAGGAGTTCGATATAAGACTGTCGCTCGTTCTGAGGCGCATGTTTAGATTCAGATCATGCCCTAGTACGAGCGCGTATTTGTTTGAAGCTTACTGGGCGTAGGAAAGACACCGTAAGAAAGCCTCTTAGGGTTTTACTTAGTGATAATAAGGCGAAAAATATATTTCAGGAACAACTAGAAAGACAGTTAGGCGACCACTTACGCGATTCCTATCCGGAAGCAGGATGGAATGATATCAAAAAGGCTGTGGAAACAGCAGTGATATCTGCTAGGAAGGTTGACCATAAGGCTAGAATGAAGCCGTGGATCTCAGTAGCATCCACCGATCTGATGGATGCCCGAAAACTCATCCCACCTGGCTCTGAACATGATGAAGAACGAAGTCAACTTAGGCGCAGACTTATAAAAAGCCTACGTAACGATTGCGAACAGTGGTGGGTGGCGAAAGCAAAAGCGATGGAAAAGGCAGCGGCGATAGGCAACACTAGACAACTTTTCCGCTTTATCAAAGAAACAGGTATTAGGAACCCGAACGTGAGTGAGACTATCTCGGAAAAGGATGGTCTTATTATTATTCATTCTCAATCCAGAAGACTGGATCGATGGGCAGAACACTAGGGATCAGTTCAACTGGCCTCGAGCCACACTTTGGTTACCCAGGATCTCCAGTCATCCTGAATGGCAAGTCGACGTAAGTCCGCCTAGTCTTAATGACGTTGAGAAAGCGTTAGGAAATCTGAAACGAGGACGAGCTGCAGGTCCTGATAGACTGACCCGTGAGATATTTAAGGATGGTGGTCCAGTTTTATCAGCTAGGTTGACCGAGATCTTAGGTAGAATCTGGGAACTGGACGTAATCCCATCCGACTGGTCTCAATCACTGATTGTCCCAATCTATAAGAAAGGACAAAAGTCTTCTTGTGACAATCACAGGGGAATAAGTCTAACTAATATAGTATCTAAAATACTGGCCTAAATAATACTTCGACGCTTAACGAAAGCTCGTGAAGAGCAGACTCGAGAAAACCAGGCTGGTTTTCGACCTGGACGTGGTTGTATAGACCACGTCTTCACACTCAGAGAGGTCCTGGAACACAGACACACATTTAGGCGTCCTACAATAGTTGTTTTCCTGGACCTTAAGGCGGCATTTGACTCAGTGGATCGTGAGGTTCTGTGGCAGTGTCTTTCATTGAAAGGTGTACCAAAGAAGTACATTAACCTTATACAAGCACTCTACTCGAACAACATTGGTCGAGTGAGAGCTTATGGTGAACTGTCAACGGAATTCTTTCCTACAAGAGGTGTCAGGGATGTCCACTTTCTCCATTCTTGTTTAATTTTATCATAGACATGCTCCTAGAAATAACCTTATCCTCGTCTGAATTTTCAGGAGTAGACCTTTTACCAGGAGGCTCGCTTATCGACTTAGAATATGCCGATGACATTGTCCTACTTGGTGAAGACGCTGATAAAATGCAGAGTCTTCTGACTACCCTAAGCAACAATGCAAGCATGTTCGGGATGCGGTTTTCTCCGTCGAAATGCAAAATGTTGCTTCAAGATTGGGTTGCATTGGCACCTGAACTAGTGATAGGGAGTGAAGTAGTCGAACGTGTAGACCACTTCACTTATCATGGGAGTCTCATCAGTGCCGATGGCCTGGTGACTGACGAAATCTCAGCTCGGATACAGAAAGCTCGATTGGCTTTTGCCAACATGCGTCACTTATGGCGTAGGCAAGATATCCATTCGCTAACCAGAGGACGAGTGTACTGTGCAGCAGTTCGCTCCGTTCTCCTGTATGGATGCGAAACATGGCCAGTGAGAGTAGAAGATATTCGTAGGTTACTGGTTTTCGATCATAGGTGTCTTCGAAGCATTGCTCGTATATCGTGGGACAGCCGAGTGAGCAACGCTGTTATTAGGAATCGGGTGCTAGGTAAGAATGGCAGATCAATAGACGCAGTAGTGACACTTCATCAGTTGAGGTGGTTGGGACATGTGTTGTGTATGCCCAACCACCGACTGCCTCGTCGAGCTTTGTTTTGTGGTGTAGGAGTAGGTTGTAAGAAAGTTAGGGGCGGCCAAACCAAAGCATGGCAGAAATCCATGAAGTCACTGACATGTGGACTGAGTCATGTTGGTAGATGTAGACTACCTAGTTGGGGTCCGCGAGATGATAATAATCGATGGTTAGAGACCTTGAACGACATGGCTCAAAATCATTTGCAATGGCGCAAGTGCATCCATTCGTTGAGCTCTCTCAAATGCTAATCTTCTGGATTCGTCAGCATCTCTACCTTTGTCTTTCTAACCTTATCTGACTGAATTATACTTCTTGAATCATATCTTCGAACCCTATTCTTCTTCATTACCATTGATACTTCTACTATCACTGTCACTCTTGGATTTGAACTGACAGTTGCGTCTCTGTGCTGATGTGGTATGGCAACCTGAACTGATGTTTTACGTACAAAGTTCTGCGTTGTATCTGTCTGTCTGAGCTGCAATCAATGGGAGTAGTGATGAAGATGTGCTCTAAAGGTTAGCCCTGGACACAAGAGAACTGTTGATAGATACAGGAGTGATTTGAAAGTCAACGAAACGATCTCGGGTTTGTTAGAGATATGCAAAAGTTCCTTATCAACTTGTGCATGGAATTAAAAATGAAGTCAGATGTTTTACCTCTGCAAAATTGAGTCATCTAAGTATATCAATTACTAGATAAGCGTATAATATGAATAGCTTGCATAATTCGTAAACTAAGTTTAAAAACCTACTCGTAAGTACACATTAGCTCGCTTACCATTTTAAAAAATAATACGGTGCATGTCATAGAGTTGCCAGTATTCAGTAAAACTAAACCTCAGCAATTGTTTTATAATACTGAATAAAAGACTAGTCTCTGTAGATACTGATTTCTTGAATCAACCTCTGTCTTCCCTATTTCACATTCTGTATCGGAACACAGGCATTCTTACACATTCATAATGAATCCAAGAGGCTAAAACTGGTACTGTGAGGTGATCTACTGATTGAATACCCAACAGTGTCTAATCACACTTTTTACCCAAAAATCCCTTATTTAGTCCTTTCATCGCATAATAGTAACACCAAGATTACTTGTAAATTCATATAAGTGTATGAAGAAATTGAAATTTATTGAATCAATCGGTTTTATTCTTCGCGTTACCATCACCTCACGTTTGTGATTTGTGTGATTTCACGCAAAGGCAATGCAAAGGAATCCCATCAAACTTATCATACAAATAGAGGCGATTTAAGAATTACGAGATGTGCCAATTCGGACATCTTTAGATAAAAATTTAATTATAAAACTAACCGAATTCAGAGATTTCAGCCTTAGAATTGTCACTTCTGTCGGTCAATCGTCGTTGTGAGTGAACTAAAATGACTGATTTCGATCAAAAGATTAGAATTTGTTATGATGTGTCTGTTTGTCTACTTCTTATAGTTTAAATAACAATCAAGTGGTTTTACTCGATTCCTCTGGATCTATTTATACGATTGGCTTGAATCCAGGTCTGTGTTTATCAGATACTAATACAGCAGCAGCTGTGGACTATCAAGACTATAAAGTTCTTCAGAAGCTCTATAAAGCCGTGGAACAATTTAGCAATAACTTAACATCAGGTATAGTTACTACATTTCTTTCAATTGATATATCTTTGTGAAGTAATGTTCCCCTTCATGTATTCTTATCGTAATAGCCATATTTTGTTGTGAACTATTGAAATTCAACGTTCTTATCAATAATATTTGCAAAGATAAATGGTGGCTAGCAGTGAAATCAAGGACGTGCGTTTCTTACCGTGGTGAGTTCCTTAACTGGAGACCCGGAGTGAACACCAACTCTGGAATTCAAGTACATTTGGCTGATGAGTCCTAACTCTGGCGAAACATGCGTTTTGGCTTCCATTGCTTATTTGCTTAAATAAGAAAACTAACTTGACTCATTATCTTAGCATTCTTGTGATTAAGATTTCGCAATATATGTGAATTGTTTTTTTGAAACTAAATCTATAACTATAATTATTTGAATTCATTCTAATGGTGGAAATCAAATGTCGGATTCACGAAATCCAGTGTCTTTTTGGTCTATTCCGAAAATAACCCTGCAAATACTTACTTTGGAATTTCGAATACCACCACCATTATCGTTAATGTTAGTAATAATGGCTAAATTCACTTAGTTCAGCGTTTATTCATCTCTGGTTTATTTATTCTCAATTTCCATCAACTGAAATAAAAAGAATAATTTAACGCTACATTCAATCCACATTTTGAGTTAACCCTGATTTAGTGAAGTCCTATGGAATTGTGTTGCAGTAGTCCTTGTCTTATGTGCACTGTTTTTTTTACTTAACTGAAAAGTTCTGTAGTTAGCGCCGATTATAGTTTATGACCTATGTGAAACGTCTAGATCCTCACTAATAGTACATTTCTTACTAGAATAAAGAACAAATTAATCAAGGTTGAGTACCAACTGTAAATCAAAAAAAAATTCTCCACAAAATTATCCTGTTCAAAAAGCCACCCAGTTTAGTAATCCAAAGAACTAAATAAAAAACTCAGTCAGTCATTTATTTATCAACAATATATATAACATGGCATATCAATATTCATACATACTGTATCAGCTTGGCAGGATAAATTTTTCTCAAAATGAATAACAAAATAATAAAAGTAATCAATGGTAGCCAAAAAAAGATTAGAAATAGCGAATGCGACTCGCCAAGGAACTATTAATTCTCAGAATAAAACACATAAAGTAGCGTTGAAACTTATAATCTAAGGGAATACATATACACTTAGTATCCTGTGTTCAACCTCAGGTTTGTTTTACTCAACGATCCCAAAATATTTACGCGCTATGTTTTAAAGGAATCTGTGATCAAGTACTTATCACCTATAAGTTTCCTTTACTTTTACGGATCACATTTTGCAGTCATAAATTAGAAGAAAGCAAACTATCATATAGTAAAGTGATTCTTTGTGTAGTAGTTAAAAACTAATACGTTGCTATTTAGTAGAACTGTTCTTTTAATATTGGTAAATCAATTTTAAGATTCAGTTCAACACAATTCACCTTCCATAAACTTCACTTTTTTAATGTAGTATATTATTCACTCCAAGGACTATGGATTTAGGAATATACTTGAAACCTCAAGTGCATCTCTCGTGAGAGCATTTTCGGTCCCCGTCAGTCTCTATACTGGAGGTTATATTCTTTGGTAGTTATTAAGACTTATTTGGTTGGCTGTTAAATCTTGAAATGCTGGAGAACATTTGCAGATCAGGTGTGTGTGTGTGTGTGTGTATGAGGTGGTATTTCATTTTCTAATCTGTGATTCAATCGACATGCCTAGACAGTATCATTAATATGTAAATCAACCAGGAGTTACCCTACTATTCTATTATTAGTTTCCTTGTCTAGTATAAATACAACATTATTTCTTCCTACCTAATGCTACTATCAACAGGGAGTATCAAGTTGTTGTTCTTTTGTTGGTTATAAAATTTCATCTCTGTGTAAGATATTTATCCGAGGTTATTGATTTTGTTTTAGTAATGTTTATTCATACTCTAAGTTTGTTCTTGTAGATATGTACTGTTCTGATGTAGCTGGTCTGTTGGTCCAATTCCGGACAACCCAGTGGCTTGAAAGAGCACTTAACTATTTACTCAATTATCCAGATCTTAGTCCTCAAATAATTTTAAACGTTGTCACTCTGTACATACAATTACTGAAAAAAAGTTAGTTTCAAAACTTCTTAATACTGTTTTAATTCATTGCCACTTTTCACATCATTATTGTTGTAGAATTGAGTAAATAGTAATAATAATAGTAGTAGTTAAATATACAACAAAACAATTGTACACTTCGTGATTTCTTTTGGACATTATTTATTCTGCTCTCTAATACGAATAATTCATTTAATTCAAGTCTAAGTTGACAAAGTGTTTAGTCTAAGATTTTGTAATTTACAATCATGGTATACAAAACCCTGAATTCATTAAATATGTTTTTAAATCATTATCTGGTTAACAATCTGTTATGTTATGATGACTATTAGTATTTGGTTATTTATGTGATCTTGTAATGAATTTCCAAACATTCTGTTTTTCAGTTCCTTGGATCGATCAATCAATCAATCAGCAGCAAAGTAGAACTTCGTACGTATGTACATCAGTTCAGGTTGCCATACTACATTAGCTCAGAGATGCAATTGTCAATTCAAATCCCATAGTAGTAGAGTTAGTACACATATTAGCAGTAATCGGAGAGATTAGGGTTCGGGGATATTATTCAAGAGTTAGAATCTAGTGAAAGAAACTAAAAAAGAAAAAAATAAAGGTGATGAGGAACTCCGAAGGTTAGAATTTGAGAGAAAACAATGAATGAATGCACCTGCGCCATCGCAAACGGTTTTGAGCCATGTCGTTCAAGGTCTCTAACCATCGGTTACTATCATTCCGCGGACACCAACCAGGTAGTCGTTACCTACCGAGATGGTTCAGTCCACTTGTTAGTGACTTCATGGATTTCTGCCACGTTTTGGTTTGGCCGCCCCTAGCTTTCTTTCAACCGGTTCCTACATCGCAAAACATAGCTCTACGGGGCAATCGTTGGCTAGGCATAGGTAACACACGTCCCAACCACTCCAACTGATTCAGTTTCAACACCTCATCTATTGACTTGCCATCCTTAACTAGAACCCGTGTTCTAACAACAGCATTGCTTACTCGGTTGTCCCGTGATACACGAGCAATGCTTCGGGGATACCTTTGATCGAAAACCAGTAACCTACGAATATCTTTTACTCTGGCTGGCCCCGTTTCACAGCCACAAATTAGAACGGAGCGAACTACTGTGCAGTCCAGTCGTCCTTTAGTCAGCAAACGGATATCTCGCCTAGTGTACGTTTCATACAGAGTATTTTTGGGTTTAAGAGAAGTTAAAGGAAAAAAGTTAGCCTTTCAAATACATATTCTTGACGAACCCAAATAGATTGAAGTTTGGTAGTTGTCTTTTACAGTGGTAGTAGTCAAACTGATTATATATAACATATTTATAGTCAGAGAAACACCTTAATCATAGCGTACGTTATTGACTAAAACTGAATCTTGATTATTTATTTTTTGATTATTTTACAACTTTTTAGATGATAATACTAATAACGAGGTGAATAACGTCAACGTTAAGATTTGTTTGAATGTTAAAGAGTTGGTCAATCTCTACCTTAAGTTTTATTCATTATATGATGATACTAACAAAGTCAAGAAGAACTGGGAATTCACCAAAACCCCACACAGTACATGTGTTCAGGTAAGGATTTTATTGCTGTTGTCATTCGAAAAGTCTTATTTTGCAAAAATTTCAAGACCATGTTCGTTCTTGTTAAACAGTAATCTTTCCAGGTCTTTTACAATGATTTAATTTTATGCTACTACTTAACTGCTATTAACCGAGTCTGATAAAACGTAGCTACTTATCGACGTTGTCTGATTGTTTACAAACCATTTACAGCGACTCCTAATCCTTCACCATCTAAGTTTCACAACAGTACATCCTACTGTTGCACCGTATATCCTCAAGCCTTAGGGATTCTATCCAACAACCCTGACAAGTGTTCACATTATTGTTTAGAAGATTTTTGAAGTTGAAATGTTTAATACATGCTGATATTTTCATATTTTTAACTGCTCCGTTTCATCATCAGAATTAATTTTAAGTCCTTGATTTTTTCTCTCACTCATAACACTGTTACTTCAAACTAGTTTGTAGCTGATTTGCTGTGTTGTGACTTGGAAGATGCTGAACACTGCTTACAATTGTATGCTATTTGTGGTTCGATTCTACACAATGATTCCAGTTCTGTTAGTAAACCACTTTCTATACAAAATTTTCTCAATTCATTCCAATATACACTCATTTCAAATAATGAAATCGAAAATGCATCGCTAGATTCATCAGAACATAATATTCAGTGTGTGAAACGATTTCGTCTACCAGGAATTCGTTCAGATAATTGTCGTGAAATATTGACAGTTCTTGGTAAGCTTTGTTAAATGTTGTTAATACGTATTTTTTTTTCTCTTGAATTGATAAATTATGCTATATCAGGGTAATCTACACATGATGTATATATATATATAGACCAATAAAGAAGACTGATCGAAATTCAGTCCTGATTGCCAACGGCGAGATAAATCCAACGGCTTATTCAAAATATTATTTTTTCAATGATATTTTTGTTCGCTAAATTATTTTTCCTTTTTTTTTACTGATAGTGCATTAGATTGTTTTTGTTGTTGTTTAAGCAATAATAAATTGGAATGAAACGGAAGAAACACATAGCAAAGTAACATGAATTCATTGTATTTTGTGGTTTCTCATCGTTTCATTACAATTTAAACATGGTAGTATTAATTATTATTGTTCTGCCACGTTCGTTCTGCTTTATTAATAAAACTCATAAATGAGATTAAAAAAAAATAATACACGTAATAATGAATTTAACCCATTGTCTCACTCAAGAAGAATTAAAGAGAGTTCAACGAGGACAATTTTTCTTCATAACAATATCATTTACGGAAGTTGTACAATTGTATATATATATATATATATATATATATATATATATATATATATAATAGGTCTTTTAGATAATCAAGTGGTATCGTACAATAAACTGTATGGAAATATCAAATGTTAAGAGGTTATGTAATGAAGATGAGAGATGATTGATTGTCTAATTAATGAAATTGAAAAGCCAAACAATTAAATGTTTTAATGATACTCAATGAATAATTACGAAGGAGAACAAAGAAAAGAATAGTAACAGAGGCTTTTTGTGTATGGAAAATAGGGATACATGGTTAGGGCTACGATGAAATGAGCGTTCGAATTTTATATTGCTTTTTTGTACAGAGAAATTAGACTTAAATCAGTGGATTTCAATGCAGCTTCAGTAATGACTCTATAGAATCCTCCATTTAGTTTAGGGATTTTCGCTGCTAAAGCGCCAAATAATAATAACTAGCATTAACAAAATTGTACTCATAGGAAAATAAAATTAGTCTAAAGTCATAACATTGAAAGATTTAGATATTTTTGAATAATTTAAAACAATTAGTCCCTTTTATAAATTTTGATAGAAAACAGTGAGAAGACGTGATTGATCTGAAAAAATGTGATGTGTGACCAGATTGTTCGAAATGTGTAGCGCAAATACATCACATTTTTTCAGATCAATTACGTCTTCTCACTGTTTTCTATCAAAACTTTGAATGATTGTTTGACGTTGAGTGTTTGTTGTACTTAACTAACTCTTCAGGAGACATATAACATAATTATTTCGCCGACAACATCTATAACATCAATATGTTTTATAATATCCATTCAAAATTCTGAGGAAACTGCGGCTATTTTATTGGCTTATATAAGTATATTCCAACCAGCATGACAATGATCATTTGTGTTTTCTTAATGATTTTCGAAATGGTTATTTAGACGAATCAAAAAAATAAATTGACGATGGAATTAACTATTTTCTGAAATGATTTTCTTTGTTACCTACCTGTCTTGTGTCAATGTGTATTGACTAATTTGTTTTCGTTTATGTTGTTTTCATTTTATGTTAGGATCATTTATTTTTAGACATTATATTAATGGAGTACAAAATTTCACTTCTTTCCAATCAACTATTGAATTGTTCGATTTGGATCCAAAACTGCTTTTGGTATGATTGATTCCCTTGGCCTAATCTTTCAGTATATACTTTAGTTAGAATGCACTTTCTTTTTATAATCGTGCTTTTAATAGCTTATCTATCATTCAAGTTTCCAAAGTATCTTTGTCATAAGTGTGAATTGTTTTTATACTTAACTATCAATATATAGGCAATATAAATTGTTATTTTTTCTACCGTAAGTATCATAAGTTTGTGATGAAAACCATAGTTATTTAAACTTTCATAATTGGATTTGTCATTCGTAGGTTATCAGTATTCGATTATGGATGTCTTTGAAACATTGCTCGTATATCCTGGGACAGCCGAGTAAGCAATTCTGTCGTTTGGGAACGAGTAATAGGTAGGGATGGCAGATCAATAGATGAAGTAGTGAGACTCAATCAGTTGAGGTGGTTGGGACATGTGTTACGTATGCCTAACCACCGACTGCCGCGAAGAGCTATGTTTTGTGGTGTAGGAGTAGGTTGTAAGAAAGCTAGGGGCGGCCAGACCAAAACATGGTAGAAATCGACGAAATCACTGACAAGTGGACTGTGTCATGTTGGTAGATGTAAGCTACCTGGTTGGGGTCCGCGAGACGAAAGTCACCGATGGTAAGAGACCTTGAACGATATGACTCAAAATCATTTGCAATGGCGCAGGTGCATTCATTCATTGTTTTCTCTCAAATTCTAACCTGAATCTCTTTCTTTTTCTTTCTAAAGTTATCTCACTGAACTATACTTCTTGAATAATATCTTTGAACCCTAATCTTCTCCATTACTGCTAATACTTCTACTATCGCTACCACTATTGGATTTGAACTGACAGTTGTGTCCTAATGCTAATGCAGTATGGCAACCTGAACTGATGTACTTACATACGAAGTTCTGCGTTGTAACTGACTGACTGACTCACTGACTTGATAATTTGAAATAAATTGAAGTTTAGGTAAACTGTAAATAATAATAATAGTAAATAAAATGATAGTATATTTTCTATATCTCAATGAATAGAAAATTAAAGATTTCGACATCTCACAGTTTAGTGTAAGTCGCTTCTTTATCGAACTGATGAATCAATTAGTAGACTAGACTAACAAAAATTACCCTGGTAAATGTGTACATCAACCACGTGACCTCAGTATATTGGCGTTAAGTGTTAATTATTATTAAGATGAATAGTGCCGTAGTAATATTAATATAAATGATAACAGAAAAGATGAGACGTCGAACATTATTTCAGAAAGAAAATTAATAGCACATAAATCATAAACTATTTTCAAAACTTAGGGAGTTCAAAGAATAGTTGCATCTTCACCAGTGATCACACCCAACGCCTCTGACCACTAGTCATCATAATCCCACGAACTACAGTTAGACAGCCCACTTTAATGTACACCACTCAGTTCAACACTCGATCTCTGTGTACACTAATATCACTTTTTGATTTGGCTGTTTGTAGTCTTCTGACTTACTCCCACACCAGCTAGCATCATGCGTTGAGGTGGGTATTGGTTGATTATACGTGAAACAGATTCTAACCATTGTAGTCGAACAGTCACAATCTTACCAGTCGACTGACTATTTCACTTAGTATACTGAGTCTAATTTCAACTTTAATCACTGTGTTCCCAACATAAGCGACCGATGCTTTGATGACGTCTGTAATCAAATGCAATAAACTTATAAACATTATCTACCTCCAAGACTCATCTTCTACAGTAAATACACGTTTATTTATTTGGCCTTATACTGTATGTTAGTAGGACAAATTTATTTAAGGCATTGGTAATGCAGGATTATCTTGGGGATCTCTGATTAGCTCATTGTTTGCTAATCACCGCGAGCGGATAGCTGAAGATTCTAAATTATAAATACGCTAACGTCTTTATTACTAGGATTCTTTCTTATTAAACTTAGTTTGTTAGAACATAATTAACTACTTGTACAGGTCGTGTTCTTATTTTAACGACTAGTTGGGTATTTTAACGCGTCAAAGAATATCAAATAATAAGATTGTTGGCTCGTATAAGCAAAATCATGAACACTATTTTCTCTTGTCTATGGACTGGTGATATTGCCCAGCTCCCCAACATTATGAATCATGTAATCTACTAATCAAAACTCCGACTTCTTCAATCAATAAACCACTGCTTTACAAAGAAATTTGTTAGAAATTTTCTTATTCACTGTTTTTTTTATAGGCATCATAATTTATACGTAGAGAAATAGAGGTTGTATTCTATTTATGTAATCTGTTTAAATAATATGTTAAATGTTTATAATTTTAGTCATTGTATATTATTAGTTCACTCTTTTTTCGGTGGAACTGAATTTACTACTACCTTACTCTAATTTATGTACGCACATTGTCAATTGATAATTATGTACAGTTACATTGTTGTCACTCTTATAGATTGATAAAAATTTAATCGTGAATAATTTTTACTTTTCCAAAACTTTCCTAGTTGGCTTTCACTTTATTCATGTTAAATGAAGATAACTATGTGAATTTGCCAATTTTAATTGATCGAATACATCGTATGTATTGTTATATAATATATCGAATTCTAATGGAATTATTATCATTGTCATCAGAAGAAGAAGAAGAAATAAGCGAAGATACAGATGAAAGAGGCGAAGAAAATGAAACACAAGAGAACAAGTACAGAAATGAAAATTTTAAAGATGAAATAAATCTTCATAATTTTCTTGATATCGAGTATACAACAACAAAACAGTCTTGTTCACTGTTATTCAAGTTAATTTTTAAACAAATATACAATTATTGTTTGGATAGTTATCATTTATCATCTGCTTATTTAATTGCATTAGTAATACGTTGTATACTCTTGCAAATATGGCAAACATTTGAATCGGAGGAAGATATTTTAAGAGTTTTATATAATTACACACAAGTAAGTGGGTTTTTTTTCTTTTTTTGATTACTTTTAATATACTTACTGGCTAAATTATTACTGTTCATTCAAGTATATTGTTATTATTCAAGTAATCTATGAGATACAAATGTGTACCAACAAAATAACGATTGATCATGTTCGGGATCTATAGCGAATTGATAGAAATTAGAATGAAGAACTATGGGGATAACACCTTATTTTAGAGACTAAGCGCTTGATAGAAAGCTTGGATTTATTGGCTTCGATCCGTGGTGAGTTCGTTTATGCTTACTATTGTACAATCCTATATAGGGCTGAAAGTGGTATCTGCTGCCTTTTGGTTTTTTTTTCAGTAGTAATCTAACCAAGTCAGTCCATATTTTAAACTAAAAGTTTGAAATAACCCAGCACACTGTTCTAAATATTTTTAAAAAATTTAGTGACGAATGAAATCTGAAATAAATTTGATCACAATTTAGTATAAACATAACAAATTTTACCATTATTAAGGGCTGCTAGGTCACTTACTTTATTCATTCATCGGTTATGTCACTGCTAATATTTGTTTTGAAAATGATTTGTAACTGTATATTCCTATTTTAGTGCAATTAATAGGTAGAATATCACAAATCCTTACAAATTCATACATTTTTACTGTTTATCATATTGCTTGGCAGTAGAACAAAATATATTGACAAGATAAACAAAACGTTAAGTGTATTAGCCAACTGAATGATAATTAAATCGATTTGGAATATCCAGACGTGCTTGTTCGTTGAGTTGATCTAATTTTTAGTCCTAATCACTCGTGGTATTGAATAATTGAGATTTGAGATTTTTCGTATGCCATCTAGAAAATCTGTGGTTCAGAACATAATTTACATCAGTAATGATTACAATTATGACTTTTCGTCATTTGTTGGTCCGATCATTAGGGCTACTGGTGCTACTTGTAACCCGATTCCAACCAACTATTGAAATGATCTATCTTTAAAGGTGCGTAAGACACACCTTAACAACCGCATTCGACACAATTTCAAACAGTTTCATGCTAAGTCATGGACTTATTATTATAGACTTACTTATTTGTTTGAGTTCAAATTTTTCTTCATTTTGGAGAATAGACGTGGTCCTACCTAAAAGGTATTTACCGCTGGTGGTTCTAATTAACAATAGAAGTTAGAAATCCTCTTGGTGTAACGTCATAAACTGTGAATCGAATCGAATAGTTCAGTACTTTGAATTCGATTCGAATAAAACCTGAAAGCAGATGGATGAAAAAAAAAGAAAACTAGTAACTATCAAATATATGTTTCGTTTTAGTTTTGATTTCCTCAGTAGTTCAATCAGTGATCTTTTTTTTGACTTAGTAGATAATGTATTCCTTTTTGGTGAACACATTGATACACTACAGAGCCTTAGTCACTTTGGGCAATAACCCTAGTATTGGGCTGCGTTTCCGCACTTTCTAGTGCAGAAAATTGCCTTAGGGTTACTTCAGTGCCTGAGGGAAAGAAGTATTTGAGTGTGTACTACTTCAGTCATAATCCAAGTACCGTCACCTTTTCCTCATGCATTCAGAAATTTCCCTTAGTTTCTCCAATTCGCATTACTTTAGGTATGAATGTAATGTCCATCTCTCTATCAAGGGGTAAGTGTATTGATTGGCAGTCCTCCTTTGATTTATAGTTGTTAAATATGGCCCTCAAAAATAGATGATATTAGTAGCCTCCTTTGGAACCATTTTCTCAAGGAATATTCTATCTCAGTGTTCTCGAAACCACCGTTATTCCTACCTTTTTCTATTCGTCCTGATAATTTCACCCCGTTGTGCTTATTAATTACAACACCATGGACTCACAAACAGTTTTACATGCTCCATGGGAATTATGACATGTTGGTACTATGTATGTTTTTTATAAACCTGCCTGTCACCACCACCACAGTGAAAGATTTCTGAAAATTTTTTATATATTTTTTTAAAGCGCTCAGAATTCGCAGTACACAGTTCTTCAGAAAACATGAGTGAAATTGGTACTGATTTTTCTAATCAAAAACTTCATTTAAATGAAAATGCAGTTGATAGTCAATCTCCTTCGTTAAAAATGTCATCTAAATCGTTCGGCTATTTGACATCGAATTTACAACATCTTGTTGATAAATGGCATCAGACATGCGCTCAACTTGAAGATATTTTAACTGTTGAACTGATCATATTAAGTTCAAAGAATCTGAAGACAGATCCTGATTTTCCTGCATTTGATTCTACTTTGAGATATTTTTTAACTAATGGTCGTTGTAAGTTAAATTTCTTGTTATTTACTTCGTACTTTATCGGTTAGTTTGTTATTAAAGAAACTTCATCATTTGAGGTGGTTAGGACGTGTGTTACGTACGTCCATACACCAACTACCTCGACGAGCTATGTTTTGTGGTGTAGGAGTAGGCTGGAAGAAAGCTAGGGGCGGCCAGATATGGCACAAATACATGAAGTGACTGACAAATGGACTGAGCCATGATGTTAAGTGTTGAATGCAAGGTTGGGCTCCGCGAGACGATAGTAACGGAGACTCTGAATGACATGGCTCTGAATCGTTCGCAATGGCTCAGATTCATCCAGTTTTGGTGTTCTCTCAAATTTTAACACTTTTAATTCCTCATCAGTTTTATTTTCTCAAATTTATTGCACTGAATTATACTCATTGAATAAAATTTTGAAACCCTAATCTTTGTGATTACTGCTACATCTACCACTGTGTATTTGAATCGATAGTTGCATCTCTGTGCTAATGTGGTATGGCAATCTGAGCTTATGTATGTAAGCACGATGTTCTACGTTGTTACTGACTGAGTGTTGATACGGACTTGAATTTTTTAGTTGGTTCCATTTTTTTTCAAAATCACAGGCATTTTACTAAACAAAGGGTTGACATTCTTAACTAATCGATCATATTTATTGCTCTATAGTTCTGTGTTAATAATTTAGAGTACAATAAATGAACAGAAATATACAATGTTCTGAGATACATCTACAGTATAATTATACTGATTTTGACCATTGTCAGCTTGTTATATTGTATATGGCATATGAAAGTAGCATATTGTGTGATAAGTAGGCTAAATTAATTATAGTATTAAAAAATTCTAAGTTCCCGTACACATAACATGCACAATACATTAGAGTATAATGAATTTACTGCATTTGTACTGCTACCTATCTTCACCTACAGACATGCTAAACAAAAGAGGCAGTCGATGCTTAAATTAATTCAATTTTTTGTTGATAGAAACGTCAGGAAGAGTACTTGCGAATATTGATCAATAAAGATGCCTCTGTAGGCATTAAATTAAAATGTATATTTTAAACTTAACTAGTTGTAACCTAGTTACCAACTACAGGTTTATATACTTGTGTACACTTCTGAACATTTAGCAGCCGAATTAGGTGATGTGAAGTTCGAATCTACGACCGAATGGTTAGAAATAATAAGAAATTTAGATTTTTGGCGTTTCATGACTTACTGTATGTTACTTGTTCAGAGTTAATGAGTACAGTAACTTACCTCAAGTCAAGAAATATCAAAAATCCAAATTTCAACCCATTCAAATATCTCAAAAATGTCTTATTATTATTATTGTTATTATTATTATTAACTCTCTACTCAATGATCAGTTTATTTGAAACTATCACATCCAATCTTATTAGTGATACCTACATACCTAGTTATTTCTGTACGACTGGACTCAATCAAATAAGCCTATTACTTCCTTGTGGGTAAAAGAAGATCATGGATTCCCAAATAGCTCAGTTTTGAACTCTTGTTTAACTAAATGGCTGATAGGTAATGATCATTCCAAAATTAATTTTTATCTGACAGATGCATTTTGTCGGGATTTTTCTCAAGCTGCAATTTAACAAGCTGTGAATGTTCAATTTCCAATAGCTTAGACGAAAGTTTATAACTATTCCAAGTGATTTCCTGTCATTTTACAAAAATGTTTTATTTAATTATTGAGTTATCTATTAACAACATGTTTATGATTTATGTTTTATGTCTACAGAATTTTTTTTGTATAAATATTTTGTTAAAAATTAACTTTTTTCATATTTGTAATAATTTAATAGCCTGTTTAACTAATAGATTTGCATACTGGATTGTAAAGAACACTTTAACACCTGAACAAGTTTTAAGTTTCTATCAAGGAATTTGTGCAAAACAATTGACAGTTGAAAATGAAAATACAAAAGATTTAATCACTTCGGATCTGATACATATTAGACAAGGTAAAAAATAAATGGCTACTTTTGTTACTGGTTTATAAATTTATTGAGTGTAATTCGTCTATCAACCAAGTAATAATTCTCATACTTGGCTTAATGTCTCATTGTTTGTATAAAAGCTGATGATACTATCCAGTATAATTAAACGGAGCTACAAGAAATTTATAAAATTTCCGAAGCTACTAAATAAAGATAACTTATCAGAAAAGACAGATCATACGTTTCAGCGAAGGGTGTGATGATTTCATTTGATGGTAGAAGAAGACCTTGACGATTGAAAATCTCCTGTCTTGATGGAAGATATTGAGAGAGCTCGGTTTATCATGGTTTCAGATTACCAGTTTGTTGTTCGTATAGTTATCGATAAATAAATTTAAGAAGACTTGTAAAGCCAATTCTATCGAAGCATTCAGAGTACTTATTTATTATGAATAGATTTCAAGTTTTGTCGTTGAACAAGGCTTTCATCTTTGTAGCGGTTTAATTGTTACTGTCATTAATTATTTTTATTCGATTTTTACTTAATTACATTTGTTTTTTTTCAATTACTATTTAGTTATTTTTTCATTGGCCTATAAACGTCTTCCTTTCACATTGGAATTAGATACTGTTCTATCAACAGCTTGTTGGATTCATTTTCAAAGTTGGCGTAACAGACCAAAAGTAAGTTTTATAAAAAAAACTTGTAAACAACACTAAGGTTTATGGATACACGATTTTTTTTTTATCTTGGAATTATATAATTTTCTATAAACGCCACTTTTCTTAATTTGTTCCCAAACATTTCAGAACATCACTCATACACTATCAACTTTGTTTTGTTATGTCTATCCAATGATCCTAATGAGTAACTGTTGGGAATATTTTCACCTAAGGTTTTCTCAATTCCAGTCCAAATGTATATTGAATTTAAGAACAGCGGCTTGTTAATGTAAAAATTCAATTTTCAATTAGTAAATTGAAGAAGATACAAGCTCTCATGCAGCAACTTTCATTTCAACAATGAAGTATTATCATCACTTTGCTTGTTACACTAAATACCATAGCTTGAAGTTGACGACTACAAGAACCTCCTACACTTGATGAATAAGTAATTTTCTTAATTTCAGCTTATTAATAATAATAATAATAGTAATAATAATCATTTTCGTTTATGTCAGTCAGATGCAACGTAGAACTTCGTACGTAAGTACATCAGTTCATGTTGCCATACCACATCAATACAGAGATATAATTGTCCATTCAAATCCAATAGTAGACGACAATTACCGACATGGCTCAGTCCACTTGTCAATGACTTCATGGATTGCTACCATGTTTTGGTCTGGCTGCCCCTAACTTTCTTCCAACCTATTCCTACACTACAAAACAAAGCTCGTCGAGGCAGTCGGTGGTTCGGCATACGCAACACGTGTCCCAACCACCTCAACTGATGAAGTTCGTGTCCCTTCCGAGACGACAGTTTAGATCAGTACATCATATTTCTTTCATGTCGTTTATGTCACTTTATTCTGTATTATTATTTTATCTTACTAGTGCAACACTATAAAAAGCACTTCATTTATTTATCCTTTTTTTTTTAAAAATAACAAAAGAAATTCATTTTGTTAATATAGAAGAATTTAAAATAGTTTTCTTAATACTTTTCTATAATATTTATTTATCAAATCTTTCTCAATTTACTATGAATATCACATGATATATAAACAGAAACATTTGTACTCATTAGAGTAGTACACTGATTTATTTTGATATCGATTGAAGAATACAATTAGTTATTTATTGTACAGTATACCTTCATAAAATAAGTTCACTTATCGATTATTGAATAATTGAATAAATTCGATTATATTTGATTGATTATTAATGCTATTTATTATACAACCAATAGGTGGTTAAAATATGTTTTCGTTCGCTATTGTAGAATACACGTAGTTTACATGCTTCTTTATATTTTAGTCTAATAATTAAATAACTAGTTTTTTCTAGAGTGGTTGTTTTCAGTTATCTTCATAACGAATCGACATCAATCAAAGAGTTTTTGAAAATCCGGGTCAGATTTTGTGATTTTTTTTCATCCAACGACTGTTCGTACACATAACCTCAAACTGACCATTGTTTAGCATTCTCAAACTTTAAGGCAAGAACAAAGTTACTAACTTTTTTTAAGTCTAACAATCCACATTTTTCAACTTCAGTCGATTTGTACCGTAACGTCAATCAGTTTCACTGTCGTCAAATTGTTAGTAGGACATAGATGGAATTAAAGCACGACTACGTTGCTGCGCGCTGATTGGCTAAATTTCTATCCAATCAGCGCCTGATCGAAGCTTGGAGAACAGGATAGAAAATTCTCGTATTATTAGCTGCATGCTGATTGGTCAAATCCAATCCAGTCGATCACGTGGATTTTCTTCCAGAAGCTTTCTCATGTAAAGGCTATAAATAGACTGGCGTTGTATTTATTTTTGCCTTCTTCGCCTTCTTGCCTTCTTTGCCTTGGCATTCGCCATCACCTCCAGCTTCTTATTCCTTGCTATTTCGGAATATAATCTTTCCTGTTCAACCGTGTTTTGATTTGGGTTACTTGTCCAGTGTTTTGTGTCACGAATACTAAGCAATAAGATTTAGCCGGGAATTATCTTAAGCAAGCGTTACAACACAAATACATTTACATATTGACCTGATTGGTTTCATAAGTCCTTAATTCCCATTAAAATTTTGAGAATAACATTTCAATGAATACTGTTAATACGTACATACCATTTATTTACTTAAATGGTTTCATGAATTTTTGAAATATCATCATCATCATCAACGAGGCTAACAATTTAGTAACTATATTAGTTAGACTTATTCCCCTGTGATTGTCACAAGAAGACTTTTGTCCTTATAAATTGGGACAATTAGGGATTGAGACCAATCAGATGGGATAACCTCCAGTTCCCAAATTCTATCAATCTATCAGGACCATCAGATTTCCTATAGCAACGGCGAGTTTCCATATCTTTACGAGTCCGTACCATCCCGTTCATTCGGACAGCGCCTAAGCAACTGTCTATCGGGATCTAAGAGAGCTAGTTCTGCCCTAGGGCGTAATTCTATACCTACGCCGACGAGGCCACGAGAAGCGGCATCAGGGCTTCCAGAAACACAAAGCGTAAACTTTGTTGCTTCTGTATCCGCACTAGGTGAGATGAAATTGATTATTTTATCGAATCTTGTATGCGCGTTTCGAAGACGCAACATACATCGATCGCCTGGGATTCCAGATTTCTAGATAATGAAGCCTGTTATCCTATTAGGCATAGGCTCCGGGCATTAAAAGCTCCTATATGTGATTTAGTACGGGGTTTCAAAGAATAATGTTTCATCAGCTCATACCGTTTGCTTCAGTGGCGTGAAGAGATAAACGATCGAAAGAAAGGTTAGTCGAGGCGATAAGAGAGTTATTAAAAGGTGTAGAGGGGTTTTAATTCTGACCGATTCGGTCTCGTGTGCTTTTATGGGTATGAGGGTGGATGTAACTTTCCGGCTGCCCACACCGTCAAGGTTGTTTCTTGAGGGACCTGAAAAGGTAAGTAGATTAGTGTTGGTCTTAACGACCCGGGAGCGTGACCGCAGAGTCCAAGTAACAACTGCTTGAGGCCGGTCACGCACGGCGACTACGATCGGGAATTTTTTAAAAATAATTAATTAATCGCATCGTTTCTCCAATGCCACTCTTTTTTATGGTCTTTTGGGTGAGGAATAAACAGTTGCCTCCGGTGCTCCTCGATTAATATTGGTTATCCAGTTAATTTTAGTTCGTGTGAAAAATCACCTTTAAATAATGTTTTCATTAAAAATAATCAAATGCGACTTTATAGTAATCAGTCAATAACTTTAAAAGTTGAATTTGAATGTAACCAATTTTATTTAAGTTCACAGTAGTGCAACTCTTTGTTTTTTATTGCCTTAAATTCTGCGTCTCATTTACCAAGTATGGATATGTGCTGAACTTTTATTTACATTATTATGTATGATCTTTAGTAACACTCCTTAACTTTCTAAATCTAAGATGGGTTACTCTTTGGATTTAAAACGAGTGGAATGTTTCAGCTAAAAAAAATTGGCTTCTAATATAGTTTCTTTTACCTTAGCCACAATAAATATCAAAGCTAAATGGCGACACAAACCAAGATTTAATATTAGTACCCACTTTCCAAACGTATGGATAATGGTTTGGTTTACGTCGTAAATTGATTGCATGACAGTTACTTGCTGAGAATATCTGACGGTTTATACTGTTTTTTTACGTTTAATTTGTTTAGGCCCTTTTATGTCTCATTTAGTTCAACGTAAACCACAATTGATGTTTACGAAAAATTTTTCATCCAAATATATATATATATATATATATAAATTCATTCTTGACCAACTACGCGAACGATAATACAAGAGTGAACCCAGATTGCTGTGAGTGGCACGTGTATTTTCTAAACAGTAATCAATCTAAACCATGTAGCTGACCAAGGAATTAACATGACAAATTAATGCTTTATAGTGAATAAAATGAGTTGTACAACTGAAGAGAAATCAATAATAAGCATTATTTACAATTTCTGTGTAAATTAACCGTTCCTGTATGCCTTTTGTACCATAAAAAAATAATAGAAATTTATGTCTGGCACTTCTAGTGAACTATCTAATAGAAAACCGTATTTTAAATGCATTTTTCTTTATTATCGAAGCTAGCTTTTAAGGAGCACTGTGATTCTCTCCTACATTTGATCTAACTGTTGTTTACAATAAAATTTGACTTTTCGCACCCTCTTTATTTTACGTAAATAAGTTCCACTTATCATTAAGTGTCAGTTCGTGCCACAAATTTTTCTGTCAAGATAAATGAGTAGTCTCATCAATACTACTACTACTACTACTACAAAATTTCATCTGTTCTTTTCTTCCAGCGTATAAATCATCTAATCTCTTGTATTGAATTTATGAGTCGATTTAGTTCAGCTGGAACAATGATTGCTCAGGGCTTAGGAACAAAAATGTGGAATGAAGCTCTCATAGATTGCATCAAACCAATTCTGGCCTTTTTAAGAGGTGACAAAGAAGTGAGTAATTTTTCTGTTTTTAATCAACAAATCATTCAAAGCTTAGTTAACTAAATTTCGCTTTTTTCGTGATAAACATTTTCTGCAATTTTTTCTTGTAAAATGAAGTTTGTGTGCATACAAAGCTAATTGATTATTGAATAATAATGATTGTCATATTGCATTTAATATTTTAGTGGTGTTCACATTTTATTTGATCAATTTGCAATATATTGTCATAAGTCTCAGTAACTCAACATGTTTTAGTGTTATGCGGTTTTGAAGCATACCTGAAATCTGTACGGAACTGAGGACTGTGAGATTAAGAAATATTTAGACACAGTATCACAATCAGAGCTGACAAACGAAAATATATGGAAGATCTAGCAATGACGGCGGAAAAGGCTGCAAGAGACGGAAACTTAAGACAATTGTACGAAACTACAAAGAAGCTCGCCGGGAACTATCGTAAACCAGAACGACCAGTGAAAAGTAAGGAAGGCAAAGTAATCAGCAACACTGAAGAACAGCGAAATAGGTGGGTAGAGCACTTTAAGGAACTGTTTAATCAACCAGCTCCACTGAACCCACCCAACATCGAAGCAGCATCCACGGACCTCCCAATTAATATTGGCGCACCTACGATTGAGGAGATCAGTATGGCCATTAGACAAATCAAGAGTGGCAAAGCAGCAGGACCAGACAACATTCCAGCAGAAGCAATGAAAGCAGATGTAGAAGCAACTGCGGAAATATTTCACAACCTCTTCAAGAAGATTTGGGATGAGGAACAAGTACCATCAGATTGGAAAGAAGAATACTTCATCAAAATGCCAAAGAAAGGCGATCTCAGCAAGTGTGAGAACTACAGAGGCATCACTCTTCTTTCAATACCAGGCAAAGTCTTCAACAGGATATTGTTAAACGCCCAACTTCGAGATCAACCGGCCAGATTTCGTAAGGATCGATCGTGTACTGATCAGATTGCTACATTACGTATCATTGTGGAACAACCAATTGAATGGAACTCACCACTCTTCATCAACTTCATCGACTACGAGAAAGCATTCGATAGTGTGGATAGGAAAACACTGTGGAGGCTTCTTCGACACTACGGTGTGCCTGAGAAAATAGTCAACATCATACGGAACTCTTATGATGGATTCAACTGCAAAATCATACACGAAGGACAGCTAACCGACTCTTTCGAGGTGAAGACCGGTGTCAAGCAAGGTTGCTTACTCTCACCCTTTCTCTTTCTCCTGGTCATCGACTGGATTATGAAGACGTCGACATCTGGAAGGAAGCACGGTATCAACTGGACAGTTAGTACGTAGCTGGACGATCTGGGATTCGCAGATGACCTGGCTCTTCTATAGCACACTCAGCAACAAATGCAAGAGAAGACGACCAGTGTAGCAGCAGCCTCTGCAGCAGTAGATCTCAACATACATAAAGGAAAAGGCAAAATTCTCCGATGCAACACAACATGCACCAACCAAATCACTCTTGATGGAGATGCTTTCGAGGACGTTAACAACTTTACATATCTGGGCAGCATCATCGACAACCAAGGTGGATCTGATGCAGATGTGAGGGCACGGATTGGCAAAGCAATGGCTGCATTTCTACAGTTGAAAAATATCTGGAACTCCAAACAACTTTCAACAAAAACCAAAATCAGGATTTTCAATACAAATGTCAAGACAGTTCTGCTGTATGGAGCGGAAACTTGACGAACTACCAAAGCCATCATCCAGAAGATACAAGTGTTTATGAACAGTTGTCTACGCTAAACACTTCGTATTCGTTGGCCAGACACCATCAGCAACAACGAACTGTGGGAGAAAACAAACCAGATTCTAGTGGAGAAGGAAATCAGGAAGAAGCGGTGGAAGGACATCACACTGCGAAAAGAACCCAAATGCGTAACGAGACAAGCCCTCACATGAAACCATCAAGGCAAAAAGTAAAGAGGAAGGCCAAGGAACACAATACGCCGAGAAATGGAGAAAGATATGAGAGGAATGAACAAACATTGGACAGAACTGGAGAGGGAAGCCCAGGACAGACAGAGTTGGTTGGAGAAAACTGGTGGGCGGCCTATGTTCCATTGGGGGTAACAGGCGAAAGTAAGTAAAAGTATCACAATCAGAGTTGTAAACACTGAACTTTTCGTGCCTAAAATCAATCTTCATTGTTTTCTCCCATCTTCCTTCAATCACTCAACATATCGTACTTTCACAAATCAATTTTTCTTACCGCATCACATAAAGTGCGAAATGTTCACCTTCTCAACTGTTTATCAATCAAATATTGCATCTTTTAGCTGAGAGATCTTCTAATGGTGTTGTGTACTACAGTTCCCTGATCGTATCTTGATATTCACGTGTTAAATATTGTCCATTATGTGTTTATTATTGATACTATATTATTAGTATTTTTCGTCAACTGCTGCTTTTATGACCAAATAAACAACTATTAGAAAATTTGACACGATGTTTCTAATCACTATCTTGAATTTCATCAGTTTTCAAATCATAACGATATACAGGTTAAAGAGGAGGATATATTACCAGTTTAATTTTTATCCATGAGCATATACTCCCCTGACTTTAGGATTTATTGGAGAATGTAGCAGTTGTGGTTGGCCAACATCAACCAACTATCAAGTATCCTAATAACGAATGTGATTTTCTCATCAACAATACAATTATTTTATGAAATGAATATCTTTATCACTATTGATGAAATACAATAAGCTAATAGTAGTATGTGAATTTTAGCTAATCAAATTTCTATCAAACACCAATATCAATAAATGTATTTAAAAAAAGCCAGTTATTATTATTATTATTATCTATTTTTGAGACAACTACATCTACTATTTCGTTCAGATATAGTATTTCAACTCGTTTTTTAAACTTTTAACAGGGTTTTTTAAAATAACCAAAAGATTTTTTAAAATTTTCACAGCGTTTTTTAAAATAACCACAGCCTTTTTTAAAATTTTTTTGAAAAAATAAAATAAGAACTACTTTTAATTAAAATCTTCTTTAGCAATCGCTTTTAAACAATTGCGACGTACATGTCTTGAATAACCTTGTAAATCATCCCTGGTTAATTGATTAGTAGATCAGTATTAGATTTATAAAATGTTCGTTGGATCCGCTCGCCAGAGATCTTCTTACAATGGATTTAATTTTCGAAAACGCGAATTCGATTGGGTTAAGCATGTAACTATAGGGAGACAAAAACATAACGTTTACTCCCTTTTCATCAAAAAAGTTTTTTGTGATAATTGAGTGATGAATCCTCGCATTATCAAGTATAAAAATACAATTCTTAAAAATTGATTTTTGATTGCATTTTTCAATTAGTTGATCAAAAAACTGAATGAACTTATCTGAATTCACCGAATCAACAAATGTTTTAGCAAAGAGAACTTCATTTTCTGTTATAGCCGATATTAAACTTATTTTGGTTCCACGCGTTGATGGAACTATGGCACTTGCCGGTTTTCCTCTTGTAGATCTTCCCAAGGTTCTTCTTAAGTACAAATTAAAAGAAGATTCATCTATAAAAACTTTTATAAATGTATCTTCAATGTTCATAAAATTTTGAGCATAAATTTGGCGTTTGTTTTTACTGGATTCCGAATTTATATTGATCGATGTATAAGAAATCTTTTTCAAAGTAATCTGAAGTCTATATATACATTATCCTTCTTATAGATTCAAGCGAAAGGCCTATAGAAATTATGTTTTCTATTTTTTCTCGAATTTCTACCATCGTTATTAACGGGTTTAATTCTATCAATTCTTCAACAAAATTGATAATATCACCGCATATCTTCTTATTTGATGGTTTTCCTGTTTTTTTCTTCTCAACTCGCGATTCCTTTTTAATCAACCTTATAATATTTGTAGCGGCCTGATAGTTTACATCTGTAAGAAATGCCGCATCCTTGACGCTGTATCCATCTTCAATAACTTTTTTTATAAGGCTTTTTCTTTTTTCATTCGAAATCAAGTTGTTTTTTTCTATTTATTTCTGACATTCTAAGGATTACAAAAAAATTTTAAAAAACGCTGTGAAAATTTTAAAAAATTTTTTGGTTATTTTAAAAAACCCTGTTAAAATTAAAAAAAAAAACGAGTTGAAATACTATAAATAATAAGGTTTGTTTTTCACTTTAGTTCATGCTTCTTTTCTTTTTTTTTTGTTACTCTTTTATTGTTGTTGTTGTTGTTGTTGATTTACATAAATTTCAGTTTGACAAATATCGTGATTATTTTCCGCATCTATTGGATTTAGCCGTATGCTTAATTGATTTCTTTCGAATATATTCTAATGTAAGTTATTTTTAATTTTGTATTGCTTCAATATTATTAAGTACAATGAACTACTGATTTATTTCACATTAAAGTAAAGAACACAACGTAGAGCCCCGATATGTATTTGCCATCAGTACAATTTTCTAGTCAATGAGGTTCCGTGTCTATCCGATTTAGATACTGACATATTTTAAACGCTCACCTAACCTGCTACACGAATAAAAGACTAAAATGAGTATTGTCAGACACAAAGAAGCTCTGTGCATAGATCAAAGGTAAATTTATAACTCATCTTCTTAGCTAGATAAGAACATGTGGAATGTTAGACCTTAAAAAGTTACATGATTTAAATCATTCATTAACTCGGCTTATACAACATTTCTCACTGACAACTGGGATTAAAAATCATATGTGAGTATAAAAATGTGATATATATATATATATATATTTTCCCCTAATTTATCAGAATTCTATTCATAGTGTTCCAGATAATATTAATAATCGACTGAATAAATCAAAATAGATGTCAAAGGTTTCGAATTTTCAGTGCAGTTGTCAAATGTTGAGTATTGTCCATCGCTGTGTAATCAGTTAAGTAGAGCAACTGTATAGATTCAGTGGTTTAGTAGTCTGTAGTGTTAATTCTATCAAAGCTTCTGACAATTTGACAAAGTTATTCATAAGAGTCTTGAGAATTTTAGTCTTAAGCACTGTACCAATTACGTTCGAGAATACGGAAATTATATTTTTGGACTTCAATTTTTGAGTAGACTATGATTTTTTACCGCGTCAATATACATTACAAACAAAAGAGAACTTTTCATAATTAGATATTACACAGATTATTGACGAGATATGTGATCAGCTGTATAACAGGTAATAGACATATGTGCAACTAACTGTAGAGTAGAGCTTTGATGAAGAGAATAGATATTTTGTTCTCTCAACAACTTTTGTTTTAATCTTTTAATTTAACAAATGTTGTTCAATGATTGAACAAGAATTGGAAGCAACTGTTACATATGTCAAATGCATACTACTACAATAACCATAACAATCAAAACAACAGGTTGATGTCAGTCAGTTATTCGGTTATACTTTACAACAGACCAAAATAACTCACTTTATTCTATAATGGAGTTAGTTGATATATATGTTATTAAGTTCAGTGGTCTAAAGATTATGCGTTCGCGTCAATATCTCAAGATTTCGGGTTCAACCGTCAATAGTTTGGTAAATGTGCACTGATAATGAGGATTAGACAATCTAGTACTTATTGCTTTCCAATAAATGTCTAACTAAAATCAGCCCATATTGTAAACTTGGATTCACATACACCTGGTCATCATTTTAAAAGAGCTTTAATGTTCTTAGGTAGGTAATCCCTGATAAAGCAATATTTCAAAATAATTTTTTATCTAAAGACAGATACATCAGCATCTCACTTCACAGTTTAAAAATTTTCTGTTTTTTGGAAATTCTATACACTAAGTAGGTTAGATGTTCTAAACTGCCAAATTATTTCTCGATTCCACCCTATTGGTAAATCTGCTAGCCAAATGGTCATTTTGTAAATCATGCATTTTTTTAGCTGCTTTGATCATTCAAATATTTAGTCAAAGATAACACTATCGATTTCACGTGAACTAATTAATGTTCTTGTTTTTGAACAAACCCAAAAGACCAATCTTCAATTGTTGCTTGTTTCAAGGTTTTTTTTACGACTTTTATTTACTGTTTTATTTTTAATTGTAAAAAGCATCGTCAATTTTTTTGTATATCTATAGGCTTGTCAACGTGCTGAAGTGGTACCAGTCTTTTCAGTCGAAAGTGAATGGAGTGATATAGATACTTGTAGTAGTAGTAGTAGTAATCATAATAATAATAATAAATCTTTTCCATCCGATGATAAATTGTTTCTGAATTCAGTTGATTTGGATGCTGACTCACCTATGTTTGACAATAATACCAAGAAGAAAGATGTATTTACGAAAGTATCACTGAATGCCGTACATCTAAATTTTTCCGTTCACGATGCTGTGAATCAATCTGTTCCTAATATACTTTCAATAATTTCATGGGAACAACTTGTTATTGTTGCTTCAGCTTTGATCACGTTTGGTCGACCTGAAAAATTTGACAAATTGTCTAGTCAACAAACAGCTGATCCAAGATATTATTCACCTATTGACTTCTTCCCATCACAAGTATGTGTATTCGATTGGGTTAATTAGTTTTTCGTCTTAGTACATATTTTTACGTGATTGACATAGTTTCATTCGTTCCCTTCTTAAATTTCTATTGTCAAAAGTTTATTGTGACCGGTTTTGTAATGTCAGATGTGATTGAACTCATGAAATGTGCTGATTGGGATGTTTAATAATCACAACGCTTAGGATTTTGTAGTGTTTTTTCTTATGGTTAAACGTTATTACTTCTGTGATTTATATCGTTCTACTTACGTATGAAATTATGTTTAACAAAATCGTACTTTTCTTTTCTAAAAAACTCAGCGGACCGTCACGGATCATGCTGGTTTTCTTTTCCGATCTGATTAATCATCTGATATAATTTACCGTTTTCCTCATCACCACCAATAACAATCTAAGAAATTTAATATTTGATTTGATTAGACATTAGCATATCTTAGCGTTTCAGTTATATAATGAATGTATCCTCCACTTCATGACTTGCAAAATAGAAGCTTGATGTTTCCTTTTTCAGGATTAGTTTTCATAGTGTTTCTGATTTCTTTTTTTATATACCTTCATATAGCATGTTATTTCTTTCTTTTCAAGGACTTACACATCATACTGTCACCAGATAATCCAAATTGGATTAGCATAGGTATTGAAAACAATGTTGATGATGGTTTAGTCATAAGACGGCGTTTTTTCCTCTCTTGGTTAATTGAAAAATGTGTTGCTCGTCTTGCATTATTACCTACTTCACAATGTTCTCCTACATCATCATCATCATCATCAGCATCCAGATTAGATGAAGACATAATCATCAATCCAGTCAATCACCAATTTGATAGCATTTTCGGAGCTGTAGATATTTATCGTCGATTTAGTTCGGCTGCTTATACTTTAGCTAACCATTGGGGTTTTCCAAAAGACACAGTAGTTATACAACATGTAATCTCGTTATTCGAAGCGAATCTTGACGATCAAGCTCAACTTGTAAGTTAACAATATGTTTCTTATATATTTTTTTTATGAATCTACTACATTCATTATATTACAGCTTACAGCTCATATTTTGCAATCTACTTATTCCATAAGAGTAATGATAAAGAATTTAAAAAAAAATTCCTTGCATAACAAAACTAATCTATAGATTTGTATCTCTAGCACTCTTTAATAGCGTTACAAAAACAGTTAGATATCGATATTAAGTATTTCAATGGGAATTCATTTCGTCTTTGTCAAGTTTAATTTTTATCACAACAGTAATTTAGTTTAAGCTGATTATTTTTGAAAATTAATAAACAGGTATAGTTTCATTAGTTTACTTAATAATATTTGGAACTTATAAACAGCATATGATAGATATAGGTGTCGGTTAATTAAAATCTCAAACACAAATACATATAGCTAGTTGATTCATAACTCACTTCCTAGGTTAGATCTAAGTTATGCTGTAACATCTGATTACATTTTACAGAGTTGTCATGCTGTTTTCGAATGAAAATAGTTTACGCTCATTACAAATTTATCTGTTATTGAGATTATTATTGAACATAATTTTGTTCTATTCCATTCCTGTCAATCTATTCAACTTGTTTAATCTTGTCTTTGTAAACATCGTATATACGTAATAATGTAGTTACGATTAATTTTAAATTATTATTCCTTGACCTCTTAAATTAACACAAATCTATGTTGGGTCCTACATCATCTCGATCAGGAGGATAATATATAAGCACATGTCTGCAAAAAATAACATAATTTTCTTTCAAATATATATAGTGTTGAATCTGGCACAGAAATGTTCCCAGAAATTATTCTTTTTTTTTCATCCCTGAAGAAAAGAAGATGGAAGAAATACAAGTAGCGGTTTGCTTACAAAGTTATTGCAGTTCCACAAATCGTTGAATGTTCAAATGGTTGCCGGTAACGTTTAAAAGCTTCTAAGTGTAAATAATAAGATTAATAGTAATTTAGGCATATAATAACTCTGACTCTAAGCAGAACATGGATTTATTGGCCGCCTGGTGCATAATAAACATATAAACACAAGTAATCTAAAGAATGACTTAACTTATTTATTCGTTATTTCTTGCTTTATATGCATTAGTTTTCCAATGTTCAAATAATTCGTTGTTCATTTCAATTATTGACTGTAGTTAAACAATAGTTTCGTATCGTTTCCAATTCTCCTACTTTTTGTTTTTCATTATTTTTTATGCACAGTTTTTATCAAAAGTTCAAGACTGTAGCAATTTAGCTGTTCGATTGTTATTCATTGTTGGACGCCGTGTAGCATATCGATGTTATAGTTCTGGCTATAATACAAAACAACAATTACGTTTACGAGTATTCATCCCATTAACAATTGAATCATGGCTTCGTGGTCTACTACCACCGGTATGTTATTATAGAATAATTAAATAATTCCCCCCCCCTTCTTTTTTCATTAGATTTCTAGTTTGTCTGGTAATCTACAACATACTGGTAATGATTCGCAATCCAAAACATCTACAACCAATATGAAAACATTAACATTTCTTATTGACTATGTGATACAACATCTACCACAACATGCAAGTCAATTGCCTATAGCTGAAGAACTACGTAGTATTATTCAAGCTATTGTACAATTAGATTTGGAATAATAATATTCTCCTTCTTTTTTTCTTCTCTTTTAATCACTTATGTGTAAGGAATCTCTTCAGCAACAAATATTTTATTTTATTATCCTATTGATTAAATGATCCTTTATTGTTTGGTGTTATCAAAGAAAACATAATTGGATGTGTGAGATACATAATTTCTTTTCTGATTTGATAATTCCAATTGGGTACAATAAACACAGATTCTCTGTTCATATACTTATCAAGTAAATACTGTCGACTAAGCATAATAGACTACAGTTAATATCGTCCAACTCTCTTGTATATTTTATGCAATCTATTTAACCAAATACCATCATCAAGTAACAAAAAGACGTAAAAATGTAACAGAGGAATGTATTTGTTTGAAAGTTCAAGGTGTTTTCTCTTGTTTATAACTGACAAATAATTAAATTTAAAATGAATTATTTAAAAATGAGACAATAAACAATACGTTTTATTATTTTAGAAGCAAAAACTATTAATTCAATATTTTATATAGATTGTTTAGAGATTATTAAGCAATCGATTTCATGAACTTGATAAAAAAAAAACAGAACTAGTCTATGCAAATTTTTAATGTGACCGGCTCTTAGTAAAGTAAGCTGTAGAAAATTAGATTTTTTTTTTTACAGTTGACCTAAGGACTAGTTAATAACACAAAATTAATTTCTGTCACAAGTCACTGTTTACCAAAAACCGAAACCTATGGAATTTCGGGGGCTTTATTATTTATTCATAGTATTATTTGGATTCAGTTTACATCATTGAAATAAACCATTATAATTAAAATCAATTGTATGTTATTTGGGGGTGAGTAAGAAAAATCAAAGAAGTATACAGAGTATTAGTAATAGTAAAACGTTACCCTAAGAAATGAAAATAGTTTGCATCCAATACTATAATCAAAATGACGTTGAATCAATTATTACGGGAAGTAAGTGCTTCGCACTTAAATTTTGATTCATACCTTGTAAATACTTCAGATGTCGAATTTGGACGTGCTAGTTACCCTATCAATATTCTAATGTGGTCGGCTAAAACAAAACAATTGATGTCACATCGACAATATGACTTGCCTGATAGGCTTATCCCTGAGATATTTTAAGGATGGTGGTCCAGCTTTAGCAGCTAGATTGACGGAAATCGTAGTTAGAATTCGGGAACTGGACACAATCCCATCCGACTGGTCTCAATCCCTGATTGTCCCAATTTATAGGAAAGGACAGAAGTCTTTTTGTGACAATCACAGGGGAATAAGTCTGACTAATATAGTTTCTAAATTGTTAGCCTCGATTAAACTTAGACGCCTTACTAGAGCTCGTGAAGAGCAGACTAGAGAGAAAAGCAGTTTGGTTTCAGACCTGGACGTGGATGTATAGACCACATCTTCACACTACGACAGGTCCTGGAACACAGACACATTCAGGCGTCCTACAATAGTTGTGTTCCTGTACCTTAAGGCGGAATTTGACTCAGTGGATCGTGAGGTTCTGTGTCAGTGTCTGTCATTGAAAGGTGTACCAAAGAAGTACATTAACCTTATACAAGCTCTCTACTCGAAAATCACTGGTCGAGTGAGAGCTTATGGCGAACTGTCATTGGGATTCTTTACTTCAAGTGTTGTCCGTCAGTGATGTCCACTGTCTCCATTCTTGTTTAATTTTACCAAAGACATGCTCCTAGAAATAACCTTATCTTCGTCTGAATTTTCAGGAGTAGACCTTTTACCAGGTGGCTTGCTTACTGATCTAGAATATGCCGATGATATAGTCCTACTTGGTGAAGACGCTAACAAAATGCAGAGTCTTCTGACTACACTAAGCAACAATGCGAGCATGTTCGGGATGCGGTTCCCACCCTCGAAATGCAAAATGTTGCTTCAAGACTGGGTTGCATCGGCACCTGAACTTGTGATAGGGAGTGAAGTAGTCGGGCGTGTAAACCGCTTCACGTATCTGGGAAGTCTCATCAGTGCTGATTGCCTGGTGACTGACGAAATCTCTCACGGATACAGAAGACTCGATTTGCTTTTGCCAACCTGCGTCACTTATGGCGTAGGCGTGATATCCGTTCGCTAACCAAAGGACGGGTGTACTGCGCATTAGTTCGCATCGTCCTACTTGACAGCTGTGAAACATGGCCAGTCAGAGTCGGGGACTTTCGTAGGTTACTAGTATTCGGTCATAGATGTCTTAGAAGCATTGTTCGTATATCCTAGGACAACCGTATAAGCAATGCTATCGTTAGGAAACGAGTTCTAGGTAAGGATGGCAGATCAATAGATGAAGTAGTGAAACTTCATCAGTTGAGGTGGTTGGGACATGTGTTACGAATTCACATTCACAGACTGCCTCGACGAGCTATGTTTTGTGGTGTAGGAGTAGGTTGTAAGAAAGCTAGGGGCGGCCAGACCAAAACATGGCACAAATCTATGAAGTCACAGACGAGTGGTCAAAGTCATGTTGGTAGATGTAAGCTACCTGGTTGGGGTCCGCGAGACAATAGTCGCAGATGGTTCGAGACCTTGAACAACATGACTCAAAATCGTTTTCAGTGGCTCAGGTGCATTCATTCATTGTTTTCTCTCAAATTCTAACCTGGAATCCTCATAATCTATATCTTTCTCCTTCTAAATTTATCTCAACTTATTATATTTCTCGAATCATATCTTCGCTCCCCAATTTTCTCCATTACTGCTAATACTTATACAATCATTATCAATCTTGGATTTGAACTGGCAGTTGCGTCTTTGTGCTGATGTGGTATGGCAACCTGAACTGATGTAATTACGTACGAAGAGCTGCTTTGTGTCTGTCTGTCTTGCGTGAAGCCTCTTTATCCTAGAGGAGAGTAATAGCTGGAAATTTTTAACAAGGCTTAAATAATGACGATTGATAAAGCCAGCCAATTTGTGGTTTTTGTTAGCGATGATTCCACAACATGTGAGCAATGATGTTTTCTAATCCCATCTGCTTTCAAACGCTGTATCCTAGGTACATAAAATAACTCACTATTTGATGAATGTATATCGTGTTTGGTTTATTGACCACCACCTCTGGCTTTATTGAGGGAAAGCGAAATATTTAACTTAATCGATGGCCGTCTATAGCGATGCAGCCGTACAGATGTGTGCGGGAAAGAATATGTCGATATGTGAACTAGTTTCGAAGTTGGCAGTAACTTTGACTGCTTTAGAATAAACCATGTCACTATAGTTCTAGCATTTATCTTAATTCTTAAAGGTGACTGTAATCCGCTGCCTGAAACAAGGCTTATTTTTCTTGAACGTTCGTTTAACCTAGTAAATCTTAGTAATCTTGATTTTACTACAAATTAATTGTTATCGAAATCATATTTATGCTCAGAACGTACTTCGCCATCTCATATGAAAATATGATATCAATAACTCCATAGGTTATCCCATCTCTGAACGGACAAGGACACGTCTGAATTTGTAACTTCAGCTAATTACTTCTTAATGGTTTCTTGCTGAATCCTCAATTCAAAACAATCAAAGTCAAGTGTTCAATAGGAATAGTTTTCATTTATAATTTATTTGTAAAAATTGTACATACGTCGTTTAATGAACGATTATCAGAATACAATTTTGTTAATCAAAGTAGTGATAGCAGTAAATCATCAACGTCACATGAATATCACGAAAGACCAATTGTGTAAAGGTACCTCATTATTTTAAATTAATCACAATGGAAAGACTATAGAAAAAAAATCCAAACCGGTAACATGCATCAAATGCTTGTCACGATAATTTGCCTGTTCATAATAATAATAATAATAGTATAAGGATTACTTTTTTTCATATGAAAAATAATAGTAAGGATAAAAACTAATCCATTTGATGCTGTACAAAGAAAAAAACAAAATACCATTAGTACAATGGAATTACATAAAACTGATCGATAGGATTGATATGATCACTTTAACTTATTATTATCATTCATTAATCTGATTGACATTAAACGTCGAATCTCAGCAACAGCAGAACAAAATTGACACCAAATATATTGTAGTTCACCAGTTAAGTTATCACCAGCAAAATTGTTTATAAATTCAATGTTACTAAGTAGTCGAGGAGGATTTGCCTTGAAAGATGCCAAGAATAAACAAAAAACCAAACAAACAAATAAGTGTAGAGCGAGTAAGAACAAATGAAAATTGTTTGACATAATCGATGAACCCATACTAAGAAGTATCATGTCATGAATGATATAATACTGCTTATTAGTAAGATATATCGATAGATGTATTGCTATAGAGATAAGATGAAATAATGTTGGTATGTTTGCTTTTCGTCATTAATAAGAACAGAATGTATCTAGTATGAGGATTTATCGGAATTAGAAAACTACATATATCAGTACACATATTTCATAGTTTACACCATAAAACTCTAACAGTGTGTGATATCCGTTCTCTAATCAAAGGACGAGTGTACTGTGCAGCAGTTCGCTCCGTTCTCCTATATGGCTGTGAAACATGGCCAGTGAGAGTACAAGATATTCGTAGGTTACTGGTTTTCGATCATAGGTGTCTTCGAAGCATTGCTCGTATATCGTGGGACAACCGAGTAAGCAATGCTGTCGTTGAGAAACGAGTACTAGGTAAGGATGGCAGATCAATAGATGAAGTGCTGAAACTTCATCAGTTGAGGTGGTTGGGACATGCCTTGCGTATGCCGAACCACCGACTGCCTCGACGAGCCTTGTTTTGTAGTCGACAATTACCGACATGGCTCAGTCCACTAGTCAGTGACTTCATGGATTTCTGCCATGTTTTGGTCTGGCCGCCCCTAACTTTCTTCCAACCTACTCCTACACTACAAGGTTGGGGTCCGCGAGATGATAATAATCGATGGTTAGAGACCTTGAATGACATGGCTCAAAACCGTTCGCAATGGCGCCAGTGCATTTATTCTTTGTGTTCTCTCAAATGCTAATCTTCTGGATTCTTCAACACCTCTAGTTTTGACTCTCTAAACTTTTCTCACTGAATCATACTTCTTGAATAGTATCTTCTAACCCTAACCTCTCCGATTACTTCTAATTCCCTTACTACCTTTACTACTATTGGATTTGATTTGACATTTGCGTCTCTGTGCTGATGTGGTATGGCAACATGAACTGATGTACTTACGTACGAAGTTCTACGTTGTATCTGACTGACTGAACAGTGTGTACAATGACGACCTAGTTAGAGATTAAACTGAGTCTTGAGACAAATACGAATACATATTTACTAAAATTTGAAGCTCAATGATTTATTCCATAAGTATCCTACCTAAATTGCCAAGTATTATCTAGCATTAACAAACAATTCTAAAAGAAATTAGGGTTAAACATTCAATCTCTTATTCAAATTCACTTGTTGTTGTTGTTGTTGTTTAGGAACATTATACGTATTGGAAAGTTGATGTTAATATTGCGATGTGTTTAAATACATCTTGATAATTAGAAAATTGTCAATTAATTAGAATAAAACATGTCTAGTGATATACTAGAAATATCTAAAAAATAATAATAATACTTACATGTATAACTAAATAGATGAGCACTGGTAGAAGATCATCTGCACAAGGTATAGATGTAGGATTGGCTAATTTTAAAGCAGCTAAAACATGATTTACTACACGTTTTAAACAACGAAGTTTATCAGATGATGTCTATTTAAGATAGAAAATGAAAAATAATTGACTATAAATGATAATTGTACAGATAGTATACAAAATTATTCAAATAGAATGTATACAGTTGTGAGAGAGAAAAAAAAGAGTAATATTTCCTAATGGTTAGGATAATCGATTTATTGGCATTATAATGAGTGGGTTAACTGATAATTTCGCTTAGAGTAAGAATTTATTCATCTATCGAATGGACTTCTCCAAAGTGAATCATTATGTGGAGTGGAGGATTATTTTTTTTCCAAAAGTTGCAAAAAACGCATGCACAACATGTCCCTCTAAACTAAAGTCCAAGTTGTATCAACGCTTAGACTTAGAATAGGAGGTGGACTTAGCTTGAAAATCTCAGCGAACCTTACAAGTTGGTACCAATAAAAATCTCGCTAAAACTCCTCTACCTTTTAACAGCTATGGTGTTGGCAAGAAGGTTGTTAATCTATGTTCGTTGAGATGGATGAAACAAGACTAGCCAAAACCTACCTTGATATGAATATTCTAGTTGTGGTAAAAACGATTTGTGAAAAAAACAAAACAAAACAACGTCATCCAAAAACAAGAAAATTATTAATTTCTATAGTCATTGTCTGATGAGATAAGCTATGTATGTAACGGGATACAGATTTTCTAGTTATTGTTCACATGATAAATGTGAAATAAGTGAGCAGATACATTTGAAAATCGATCATATTATCACAGATTCCAATTGATTTAATAATGCAAGTCAATACATATATATAATAGTTGAGTTGCCTTGAAATTGAACAATTTTTTGAAATCATGTAACCTCAAATATGAATACTAGTAAATATAAATTAAAAAAAAACACATCGATTTCCATTGTAATGATGGTTATGGTGAAAGTGTTATTGGTTTTTTAAACTGATTGAATGAATGAATGTACACAAATATAATGAATTGAGGATTAATTTTCGATTTCATAGATTTTATCATCAAATAAAAAGGGAAACTATATAATAATAATAATAATAATAATAATAATAATAAATAATAATCTCACAAACACATACATGATAACAATCGAGCAGTAGAAGTTCATTTTGTACTGATTTTAATGGTAAAACAATATGATATACATCGGAAATTCGTAATTCTGTTGGTGTTATGGTATTTTGTAAGAATGCTAATTCTCGATGAAATAATCTGTTTTAAAATAAAAGAAATAATCAACTGTAATAAATACTATATGTATGCGTATCAAAATGATTTGATCATGAATGAGAATTATTATCAAAGTGAAAATTAAATCTATAATTCCATCAATAATTAATTTTGACGATTTGTAGATTTTTTACCTCTGTGACAAGATTACAACATTTCAAATAAAAGAATGTAAACCTTTTTATGTTCGTTTACTTAGAGAAAAAATCTAAATGGCTAACTATGCCTTAATTTACCAATGAGAACTTTAACTTTCTATGATTAAACTCTTATACTGTATGAGATTCTCTTTGCATCTGTACTCATAATCAGTAAGTTGATGATTAAACCATCCGATGTTTTTTAAGCAACAGATTTCAAGTGACGTACTTCACTTGATATACTCTGATTTAGATAGCTGAGTTAGTGTATTACTATTTTTCATACAAACTATCGACTTGAAAAACGAGTGTATTTCACTCGTAATCGATATTTGAACATCATGATACATTAATGTGTTTGTTAAATCAGTAACAAGGGCTTTAATTTTTCATCTGAACACAACTGGCAAAATAGTTGAATTTAATTGAAAAATAATAATATAAATTGTATAGATTCACTTAATCGCCTCAGATCTGGTAACAACTAATACATATTATACTCAATTAAGTTGTGTTTAATCGTGACACATAACGAATGAAAAATGAACTCCTCTAAACATTAGACTACTCTACCACTGCTATCTTTTTTTCTGGTTAGCGTTTTTATGGCAAGTTATGGAGCGGAAACATGGAGAACTACCAAAGCCATCATTCAGAAGATACAAGTGTTTATTAACAGCTGTCGACGCAAAATACTTCGGATTCGTTGGCCAGACACCATCAGCAACAACGAACTGTGGGAGAGAACAAACCAAATTCCAGTGGATGAGGAAATCAGGAAGAAGCGGTGGAAGTGGATAGGACACACACTACGAAAAGCACCTAACTGCGTCACAAGACAAGCCCTCACATGGAACCCTCAAGGCAAAAGGAAAAGAGGAAGGCAAAAGAATACATTACGCCGAGAAATAGAGAAAGACATGAGAAGAATGAACAAAAACTGGAAAGAATTGGAGAGGGAAGCCCAGGACAGAGTTGGTAGGAGATAACTGGTGGGCGTAACAGGCGTAAGTAAGTAAGTAAGTACCACTGCTATGCTAGAATGCCCAGTAATCGCTTATTATAATATTCAGTGAATAATCAATTGATTGCTTTTCCGATATTTCACTTCACAAAAAGAAAAATAAATAAAGCATTCTGTGAATTGGGGAAACTTACTCATCACGTTCTTTCTGTACGCTCGGATTATTAATCCATATAACAAATGGATAAATTTCATCCATAACAAGTCTTTCTAATTTAATTGATACACTTTCTATATTGTCATTATTTGTTAATTGAGATAAATCTGATCGATCGAATAATAATAATGATGATGATAATAATGATAAATTTGTTGGAATGAAACAATAATTTAAACAAGATTCACGCCATTTCATTTTCATTTTATTAATTAATTGTGTAACAAGTTTTCGTACCATTTCAACTTGTCGTTTTAAATCATAAGATAATTCATCAGTAGTAAATTTCTGTTGAAATTCAATAAATAATTGTTGATGTTGATGAATAAATTCGGATAAATTTCTATTGGTAATATATTCTTGTTGAAATTGTATAGATTGTTGTAACCTTTAAGTATAGAAATAAATAAATCAAAAATATACACACAACAATGAAGAAAGAAATTGTAGTTAAAATAAAATATACCACATTTACAATTTGTGTTATCCCAATTTGCTCTACATACCACCCACAATACATCACACTGAATATAAAAACAAGTTGAAATAATTGTTATATCAATGATAGCTATGAGAAACTAAGAGTTGACAATATAGATGTTGAGAAGATAAAAATAGAATTAAATAACAAGTTAACAATATCTACAAAACAGTTGTGATTCTTTTTTACACATTTGAAATCATTAATCAATCATCATTGTTAGACCACTATTAGAAACATGGAAGCACTGGACGGCCGTTTCGTCCTAGTATGGGACTCCTCAGCAGTGCGAATCCATGACTCCTGCTCCTCGCAGGATTCGAACCCGGGACCTTTGGCATTGTAGGCGAACGCCTTACCATCGGACCACTGGGCCGGCATCCAACGGTGTTAATGTCTAACTCTGATTGATCTAGGGATTTTGCGCGACCTCACCCATTTGTCTTTGGTAGTTACTGCCTACACCCGACAGGGTTGAACTCCATTGGTCACGTCTTCTCAACTAGAACTCCGAGAATTTCCTCACGAAGCTAGTCACTAGTGAGCACTGTTACGATATATTGGGGCACAGTTTTGGAGGTTTGCGTTTTTACACATTTGATTCTGTAATTTTAACAGTACAGAGAAAGATGAAGACTATGCAGTCCTCGTCTCGACTGCCGTAGTGAAAAACAAAGTAAATTATGCCAATCTGTGCCACCCCTTTGATATTTTTGTTGTTAGCTAGCTGTAATACTAGGTTTACATTGTGTCAGTGAAAGCAGTCCAGTTATTTCTTTTGAAAATCTAATCATTCACAGTTGAAGATGTCCAGCAACTGCATTATTAATCATTTTCGTCACAGAGAATTGTTAACATTTGAATAGCAACACCGAGTTATCAGTACCGAAATTCGCGCTGTGTTTGCGTACTGTGACGATAATTTAACTGGTACCATAATTTGAAACATCAAATTAGAAGATTCAGTTACAGTTTATAGATATTGTTAGTTATTTTATAACTAATTGTAGTTATGCCGTAACTAACCAATCAGATTGTGGTTTAAGCGCCCACCACGTGATCTGACCTGACGTGTCCGTAATCCTTCTTTGTTGTAAATGACCTACAAACTGATTGACATTTTATCTTATTATATTGATGTGACTCATAACTGTACTCATTTCCATAAGACACGCTATATTGGTCGGTACGTTTGCTCGTCTCACTTGGTAATTGTAATTTCCTTATTTATTGTACTAATGTAATTGTTTTTCTTATGTTTAGAAACAGATAAAGTTTAAAGCAAAGTTGATCTTCTTCTAACTGCAGCTTTCCCATAGACTCTGTGCTCGCCAATATTGCGTTTACCATTCTAGAATTACATCTGTAGGACAAATTAAATCCTACAGATGTAATCCCAGCGACTTCATATTGTGCACGATTTGATAATGCTGGGAAGAGGTAATCAGTTTTTGACATGACGGCTTAGTAGGAAATATAACTGTAAACAAGAAAGATTGGTTCAGAGAAGAGTTAAATTTTTCGGTGAATCCTTTTTCAAAGCTGTACAGCCATAAGTAGATACCCTTTTTTTTCTCCTGATGATAATGACAACAATAGTGATAAGTTTTTGTTCAATTTAGTAATAATGAAGTAAATTAGATAAAGGTATAAAAAGTTATTTCGAATAAGGGAATTAAGAATACCTATTATTGTTGAGGGCTTGAATATTCATTATGAAGATTGATCAAGAAATTCTAATTAGAAACGCTTAGCATGATCAAATAAAATGTTTTAAATGAGATGAACTGTATTTTTGGAGAATTATAGAAATAGAAACAAATCATTTAGGGGTACAAAGTCTATGACGAAGTGGATTGAAATGGCGCAGATGGCTGTGAGAGAAAACAAATTTTATTTTATTCTTATGAGAAAATTAGGATGACGGTTGTACAGTTTTAAAAATAAATTAGCCGAAACGAGAACTCTTCGTCGAATTAATAATCTTCCTTGTTTTAAGTGTCTTAATAGGTAGATATATTCCGTTTGAATAACTGACAGTTCCTGGTTTTTTTTCATATTTTCTTCCATGAAATCCTAAAGATGATGCTTGAGATGTTATCAGATACAGTTGAAAACAAGAAACAGCAGAGAACCTAATTGTAATATTCTTTCTAATAAGTTAGCTAAATCACTTCAACTGAATCGAATTTTTCATGGTTGTATTTTAAATTGTATTCCCTTTCTTTTATTTACTTTTTAGTTCTTCAAAAAAATTATCTTTTATTTGTATGGCTTATACTTATTAAAGGCACAGTTGCACTTGAATGCATGTGTATTAAGTAAAATTATTAAGTAAAATTCAGAAAGCTGATAGAGAAAATTTCACGTCTGTAAATATCAAATGTCAAACTATAGCATATATATATATATATATATATATATATATATATATATATATATATACATTTTTATCAGAGAAAAGTTTCAAAAAGCTTATTGCAAAAATACATTTATAAAATTAAAACATTTAACATACCAATTTATAGACAATTCTAAATTTGACTTAAGTTTATTTAAATGTTCATAGTTTTTTATTAATTGAACTTTGTAAACTCGATGTTGTCGAAGATATTGACGAAGATTAGAAATTAAACATCTGGTTAAAGAACATGATAAATTGAATTGACAACAATTTTGATGTAAATTATTCTCTGTAGCATTATTATTATTATTATTATTATTATTATTATTATTAATTGTTGTTTTATTGTTCATTGTTGCATAATTGGAATTCATACGACTTTCTAATAGATTGTTTAATTCGAGTAAAATATTTCTTGTTTCAATTAAAATGTTAATTATTGATGAATTTTGCTAAAGAGAAAAATAATAAATAAAAGGTGATGAAAATGGATAAAATTTTCTAAAAAAAAAAATCATCAAATCGTTGACCAGCCAGCAGCATCCTAGGCTCACGTTAATTGAAATATTGCTCTAACATTGATCGCAATACAATACTCTTGATTGGAAACTTCAAGAGTCTCTTAGATAACCTAACTAACTAACTAACTAGTGATCTAGCTACCAAAACGAATGAGAAGAGAACAAAAAGTGAAAGGATTAACTCTACGCACTGATTAATGAGAAAAAAACGTTGATATTATTCGTAAAATCTATCTCATCAGCCGATTCAGATAGAACTTTTCGGAAATAATGGACTTTTTATGAACAAAACTTAAATAAAAAAAACAACTCTGAAGTTGGGAATTATGGATAATACATCGTTTTACTAATGTATCCAAATAAACTGGAACAAGACCATAGTTACAGTAACCAAGAGATGACATTGATATGATCACATATTTTTTTTCATTTATTCGAATATTGTGAAAGGAATCTTACAAAGCAGTTGAATTATCACTTAAAGCAATTGAAAAATTAGATTTAGTAAAAGCATTCAAATAAGATAATACATTCTGCATATGAAAATCAGAGAGACAGAGAAAGAGAGAGTGTTATGGTACAAGTACAGTTTATAGTTAGTAAATTTACATTTCTTTTTAAACTGATGATTAACTTGTTAGTGCTTCACTAAACTGTTCTGTGATATATATAAATATCATTATATCATTTTCAAACTGTTGTCAGTTACTTTAGCCCTTTAACTCCTATTGAATCATATTATTTATTATCTGTATTTTAAGAAACAATACAATAACATAACAGGCAGTGTTTATCCATTTGCTAATTGAGCATTTTCTCAAGAAATAAACTGTTTTTTTTTTGAAAATTTTAGTCTTTGTCCTTCATTTTTACCGGAGGGTTGGTTAAGCCAAGTAGGAGTGTCCTCATGTGATTTTGTTTGAACTGCGATAATTGCTTTTTTTTTCTTGTATTAGTAGTGTTGTTCAACTATTTCATTTCAAACACTAAATAACCAGTATTCGATGTTTAGTTAATTACAACAGCAACCAAGTAATGTTATCGTGTTATAAGAACACATAGGTTACGTTATTAGAATTGATTATGAAATACGATCAGATGGGATTTATTGAACAGGGAAATAAGAAATCATTCACTTTTTTCGCTAGTTTGTTTATAAATTAAAAGTGAATTTTTTCTAAATCCTACTGAGAAATACAGTAATTTAAAACGTTATCTTTAGAAGAATATTCTTTCAATATAAAATGTCATCCTAGCTTTAGGTAATCTATTTCTAGTATACGAAGGTGCTTTTAGATTCAATAGATACAATAGATGCCAATGTATCTCGTTTAGCAAATACAGAATTATACACTAGTATTTTAATTACCCTGCGCAAATACTCATCGATTTCTTAAAACAGTATACGTAGACCGGTTCCAACCTATAACTTACTGGTTGAAAAACAGTTGCTTTACCTACTATGGTACTGTACACAAAGGCAGTCTACATATAACTGAAATGTAGTTGACTAAAAAAGTTAGACAAGCTATTTATAACACAAATTACTAACTAACAACAACAAAGGTCATGTGCTTGATGCGAGGCCTACAGGTTCTAGGTTTCGTTCCTTGTGACGTTATGGATTAGCATACGTGAAGAGTCCCAAACTAGAACGAAACAAATCCATAGTAAATTATGGTTTTCAATGGTTGTTACGCATGCACGTAAACACGTCAACTTGATATACTTGAACTACTGCGGGTTTACCTAGTCAGAAAACGAGATCGAGGATCCGGCGACACGACATGCTACTCAAATCCGATTATCCGAACCCCCCATATTTAGTAAAAATAAGAAGACGTGACATGAAGTACAACCTGTATTCTACAAGCATCCAGAAAGTAGGAGATCCGAATCCAGAAGAGAATCAGGACCCCAGACTAGGGATCCGGGACCTGAGCCCTGGCCCTGGTCGTGGTCATAAAACGTTACAAATAATGCGTGTTTATACATTTTGGCCGAATAGGAAACAGCATCGAAGTATGTGAAATTGACAGTTAAGACGACCAATAGGAAGCAACATTTGAAGTGATATTGATAGTCAGGACAACCAATAAGAAACAACATTGGAGTATGTGACATTGATATCTAGGACGACCATAAAATTGACCAGTAGGAATTAACCATTAGGAATTGACCAATAATTCTCTTAGGATATTGGATGAATATCCAAACAGATCAGTTTGTGATATAAAAAATGAGAAGTGGAAAAATAGACATACAAAAAAAATCAAGAAAAGTTAGCAAAAATAGAAACTAACCTGTGTGCCATATAATGCAGCTAGCATTGAATTTAACAAAGAGAAAAGGATTTGATTTTCACTGAATACATCAGTGATGTCCTGACCTTGTTGTGGTAACAATCGATTATCATATGTAATTTGCCATGTTGACTGAAGTTTTTGAATAGTATTCAAAGCAACAATATTTAATGTTGAATCAGAGAATATTTCCAGTAAACCATTCAAGGCTAAATTGAACAAATGAGGAATTGATTTATGTGATTGTGAACAATGAGGAGATAACGAAGACGACGACGATGATGATGACGAGGCAGACGAAGATGATGATGATGATGATGATGATGATGATTGCAATGAAGCGAAATCTTTGTTAGGACTATTAATATTTTCAATACTAACAATATCATTATTATTATTATTATTATTATCAACCACCTTGTTTGAATTTGAAGTACTAGGGATATGTTTGCTATGAGTAGACTGAGAATCAGAGTTATGATTAAAAATTGATTCATTTGGTGGAAAAACTTGTGTTTTTCTACGATAACGTTCCATCATTTCATCAACAGTTTCTTCTAAACAATCGAGGGATTGAAGAGATAAATAAGATAACGACGTAATTAAATGAACATTTAAATAAAAGAAAGACTAAAAGTAGTTATTTCAGTATAAAAAAAAATTTAGCTTACAACAAATTGGCTTAATGTTAAAGAAAGTGAGTCTTACGATTATCAGTTAACTGATCAATAAAGTTATCGTGCTTGAGCTTCAAGACCTTAAGATCTGAGCAACCAGAAGTCCTAGTCTAAAATGGAATATTAATTAAAAGTATCCTCATTTCCCGACTGTTCTTCGAATGACATCAGTTTTTGATTGTTAAAAAGACTATCCGTTCCTTAAAAACTATTCAAAACATTTTATGATTTCTTTCACATTCAAAAATGTCATGGCGTTTGATTGCTGAATGATTTTCATGCAGAAGAAGCTGAAGAGAACGTTCACTTTGTCCCAAGTAGTGTTTTTCAATTTTAGCAGTTTATTGTGTAGGTGATATTTTTCCTTGTCCTTTTTTTTGTGTTTCATGTGTGTGGCAGTGTGTTTTTGGTCTCTTGAACAAAATGTGTACGCTGTTGATTTTGTGAGTTCTTGAGTTGTTGCTACTGTAGTTGAGAATTAGATCTGTATGGGTTGGCTTCCGAATAATGATAATAAAAACCAATCACGATTGAGGTCAACAAAACAAGCTATGAGCCATATGTGGAGAAATTCGAATACTTCAATTCTACCTGAGGTTTGTGCTTATGATGTTGTTCAGAAGAATAATGAAAGCTCCACAACTAGACCATCCAGATCAGAGAACGAAACTCCATAACAATCATTCACCTGAACTACAAATTTTCTACACCATCTCATAAGTGGAGCTTTCGAATAATTACGTCAGTTATTACTATTCCCTTTCTTTTAATTACTGAATCTTATTTTAGAATCATAATGACAACATATATTTACTACGTTACGCAACTCCTTGATAAGTAATATTTCATTGTTGTGAATAAAATGTATATTAGTGTAGAGTCATGATGATTAACTAATTGAAAGAAAATTTCTTCAGTCTATTTGTTCTTTTGAACTAAATGGGAATTTTCACATTAGTGAGAATAGATTAGAAAATGTCACGAAGAATATAAAAACTGATAAGTGATTGGAGGTAGTTAGTAGGACATCCAGGATCTAGGTTTCCTATTGGCTGCAATTTAGGTGGAGATCAGTGCTCAACTCCTACTATATTCAAAACTCAGACCACCCAATGTGAGATGTTACTACTGAGCTATGCATGTCGCGACTGACCTATAAGATTGAGACGCTTACATTGATTGGTAACTAAAGATTGGCCAACATTACATTTGACTTATTTTCAGCGTACATTGAATTCAATTAATCAATTTACAATTGAAAATAAGACTGAAACAAATAGAAACACAGTCGTAGAATTCTCAACAATTACCTTTCCTCACACAGTCATCTTTAAAGTGACTTGAATCTTGTGATTTAACAGTTTGTTGTTTCAACTGATTAGAATCTGGCTGAATGGAAGCAGATGATGCACTTAAAATTTGCTGATTATCACGTGATGAATAAGTTCCTGATTCCACAGGGACCGATTCCATTAAATCCGGCAGAAATGAATACTAAATTGAAGAGACATAGAAACACAAAATATGAATAGAGTTAGTATTAAAACATATTGTATGTAGTAGAATATCAATCTGAATAACTAAAATGGATTTTATTTGATTAATCAGCTAGTTTATTTTGAGTGGTGTTATTCCTGATAATCAAATTAGATCGTATATTTACCTATTTGATGAACAGGATCACCTTTGTTTAGGTGTAAATAAAAATAATGTATAGCTAATAAGAACACATCGTCTGGTCGGAGTATTAAACTATGGCTTTTGTAAATTAGTTTTTCGATGAGATTGCAGAAAAATTTATGATTTATGAGGATCATGCATACGGCTTTCATTTTGATAAGATTTCTTCTAATTAACCTACGGTAATTTCTAATTATGAACGACTTCCAAATTCTTCTAAGGTGAAACCGGATCTACTCGATAGAAATTAATAAACCAGAGAACTGATACAATACTCTAGGAATGGTCCTCAACCCAACAGGAAATAAAAGTTCAGGAGAAGCTGAATAACGAGGAGAGAACATTGCAATGAGTAAATCTGTATATAAAGCGACCGACAATGACACTAACAACACAACAAAATTAGTAAAATCTGAGTGAAGATAACCAATTAGATAACAGCAAATATCACTAAGAAAATATGGATTAGAAACGTCTTACTTCATTTATCCTTAAGGAAAAGAACTATCAATCATCTTCACGAAACTAAGTAATCCGAGTTCTCCTTAACACATTCACATCGTTGTGTACATAAGAGTTAGTGATATTCTGAGGCTACTTAAAAGAGGTAAAGATGTAACTTGGAACCCAATGGTTGAAACAACTTTTTTAGTTTCAAATATTGACGTGTCACGTAATAGAAGGAGTGATTAGTCAATGATCGAAGATAAGCAGGCATTCTGTAATCTGTAAATTAAACCTCTATATATTGCAACTCTGATCCTATTATGGACCCTACTTTATGCGTGCAATGCTATCATATGACTTATGATATGACACTATATTATAGGCCATGAACTGTATATTTAAGTATAACGTGATCAAGCTATATTAGTTTATAAAGTCGTAGCATTAAATTAGTTTTATCTCCGCATGAAACTTTTCTAGGATTACGACCAATCCCAGGGCCAGATAAAAGAGGCATGGGATTAACAATCCCATCTCGTATAAAAAAAACAACCTTAGCAACAACTCCATCAATAAAAGTTTCATAATGTCCATGGAAGAGGTGAGAACAACGTGAGGAGCTAATACCCCTTCAAATCACCACTTACTGGTGTCCACTATAAAGCTAAAGCTAAAAAACAGATATTGAAGCAATAAACTCAGTACTTTATTGTATTATTCCGAATGCAATAAAAACACTCTCTACATTTATATTCGTAAATCAAACGACGCTAATAAACCAAAAAAAGAAATACTAATTATCATTTACTACTGATTATATTGAAATATACATTCTCATTGGATTTATAAATTTTTGTTGTATCACTCAGCACTATTTGATTATGAAAATCTAACATGAATAAATGTTGATCCAATCCATACAAACATGTCGAAAAATACAATCACAACATACAACTCATCATTCTTCAATTAACATAATTTTCTACAATTTATTCATCACTGAGAAAAATGCATGACAATAAAACACTTGACACATATATGCAGATATGTATTTGTAAAAAGTAGAAGAAAAGATAAAACAATTAGCATAAATAAAAATAAAGTATCATTGAATTAACATGGTAAAGAGTATAAATTTGTTTGATAGGATTTTTTTTTTAAAAAAAATCAATTTACCATGACTGTTCGATAATTATTATTAATGGATAATTAGGGTGAAAACATAGCAATAATAAAATCATGAAATTCTGATCTTACATTACATTATTATAACACAAGTTTAGTTTAGTTCCACAAAAAAAAAACTTTTTTTCAACTTTCACAATATAATAAATATTAACAACTTGCTAGCTTTTAGAACGAAAGTTTTATTGTTATAGCTAGCCAATTAATTAAATGATAACTGATAAGTCATTGAAAATCAGATTGTAAAATTTCGGTGATATATACCTGATATAGAAATGCATTGGAAGTAAGCTTGAACAAATAAAGAAATGGCATAACACTAGTTTATGTAGTCACTGATGATGGTGAATAAATCCTGGTTGAAGTCTTTTTGAAAACTAAAATTGATCACAGTAGAGTGGATGTATTCATACTTCACCTTTATTCTTAGATTTCAGTTTCCCTCTCTTAAATGAATTCCTTTTTTCGAACCCAGTTCTAATGTTTTAGTCTTTCCAAAACTATAAACACTGATTGAAATTTCAAAAAATCAACTAACTAGAAGATTTTAATACGTTGCTCATTAACGTATTTGAACTGCTAAAAATATGAATGAATAACATGAACAGGTGTTCTACACGTTAATGACAATTTTCTAAGATTATAAAAATTACATCAGTTGATATTGATTTCATTCAAGGCAAAACAAATTACATGTATAATTGTTTATGATTTAAGAAATAAATTACACACCAGACTGAATAACACAATATATTCCAGCTTATAAATTTTTGAGAACAATTAGGTTAGTCTACTACTACACCTTGTTAATACAAGAGGAACTACAACGACAACTGAAAAGATTGAGTTGAATTAATTCAAGTTAACCCATAGATTGATAATTTTCGAGTCAGTAAATAAATCATTAATTAAAACACTTATCTTAATTAAATCATCGTATGCAGCATTAGGCTGAAAAACCTATAAGTGTTAATCTCTGATAGTTAATTTATTGTATAACAAACAGTTTTGATTACCAGTTTACCAGTGCTTAGTAAGTGAGATGAGTTAGAAATACAGTGAAAAATGAACAGTACATTATGAAGCTGAAGATTTAATGAAATACAAAGAATGAATGCATCTATATCATTAGGACAGAATTTGAACTGTTATCTGATCTATTGAATCACACCAATCACAATTATCTTGATAAGCATAGTTTAGGAGTATTTACTTACTAATATGCATTGTACCACAAGTCGTTTATTTTATTACTTTGTTGTGCTTTCGTCTGATTACTAATACAGAGGGTCAATTAAAAAATATCTAAATAAGAAGAGAAAATTGATAAATTGTGCCACAATCACCAATTAATAAATGAGCGTGATTGATAGAGGAATGTCTTCATTCTGCACCGAATGAGGCTTTATTCACCGACAGACTTAATTTCCCAAGGGACAGACACATATTTATATGCGTGTATACTGCACGTATATCGATCTACCCGAACTAAATTTTCTCATCCCAACTTTCTCTCGTCTCTCGAGTAATGGGCTTGTGCATATGGACAGAGTATATCAGTATCATCGCACAGACACCGTGTGTCAAAACAACCACCATCACACATAAGTTAGCCATTATAGAGCATCGAGTTAGACGATAATTAGTGATTTGTAAAAAATTTTGCAGTAGCTGTATAATCGATGAAGTTTGACAGTATAATCTTTACATTATAATAAAATATTGACAGTAGCCGAAATAATCTATACAAAGAGAGAAAACACTAGTACTGTATACAGAATAAACAAACTACGGATGATAATTATACTTAATGAACTATTATGCAATCCAGTAAACGAGTAGTTTCTGATTTTATTTGGAGTAGAACATACCTTATACAATAAACAATTACAAATATATATATATATATATATATATATATATATATATTCAGTAAGAAAATAAAATCAAAAGAGATTAAAATAAACCGATAGACATTTACAAAGAAATTGTAATAACACCTTATAATATCATTGATAACATACAAGATTTGACTGAGATTCACTGGGTTGAGAGGATGATGTACGGTTATGTTTATGAACACTTGAGTTCACCGATATTCGTGGACGTCGAGCCATAAGATCTAGAGAGAAAGAGAAAGGACAAATAGTTTTTGGTGAACAAAGGAATATTATACTAAATCTCTACACACTGTCTAACATGTTGTTTTTATGATACGCGAAGGTATGATAAATATTTGCTTGACTGAAAGCCAACTGCAGTGTAAATAAATATCAACTGTAAAGCAGTAAATTAATGGGGAGTTCCAATATCAGGTTCTCTAATCAATCAATATGTTAAGATATTCTACGTATTTAGGTGATAGAATACCCGATTAAATAGTGTTAAACCCATCGTAACAACTTCCCAAATATGATTACAGAAACGTGATTATTTCTGACCATATAAAGTAGTAACGACGTAAAATACAAACTGACGAAGAGTGAACAATAGTCACAACCACTGACCTTGAATAATCAATTGGAAAGCTAACAGAAAAGATTCCTCTAATTATTGCAAACAAATCATACAGCAGTACAGATTATCCTTATTCAGCCTAGTAATAATTGATTTTTCTTTCACAAGATTTTGGAAAATTATATCAAGATGATATTTGATTCTTTCATTTGATACTATTGTCTTACTGAAGGAAAATAACACAATTGATAACTGACATGACTGTTTTAAAAGCATAAATTTTTATACATAATCTTAAATGTATAATTTTACACATACCTAATCTTTCCATGAGACGTGAAAAACTCTCTTTTAAAGTATGTGCACTGCCATGCATACGATTGGTATTCACACTGCATCGTCCATCATTTGTAGATGATCTAGGATCATTATTGATTCTTTCAACAGTATCACATGAGTTATACACTTTAGCAGACGTTATAGATGATGATGTATGGTGATTAGCGTTTATTGTAGACTCCATTGATACAGAACAATGTTGATTTGAATAATTAGAATTCACAGGTCTTGATAAAGCATCAAGATCATCCTATTTGATTGAATACCATGTAAAAGAAAAATTAAAATAAAAATGAAAAATTTACAATTATGATTTCAAAGCAGTTTTATTTATAATGTACAATATTGATTGTTTTATAAAGTGATAGAATAAGACTTGTTAAAGTGCAGGGAAGATGTAATTTAACATTGTATTATGTGTTTACATTTTCTTTCGAGAAAGTTTTGTTCACTGGTTTCATGAACCTTGCGTCAAAGGGAAATTAAATTACTTGAATAGCGGTTATGCACAACCATTGCTACTAAATGAGAATTCTTCAATATTAAAACTCAAAATAAGTTCGAATCAGACTACTATATAAGAAGAACTAAGAAAGTAAGTACAATACAAAATATAAATTACATACGTGACACTGAGAAATGACTGGAGCACTACTCGTAACTATGGGATGGATAGGATCATCGTTGAGGTCATGTAAATTAGTCTCACTTTCTTCTGTATTTCTTACGATATTCAATGGAGAATCGGAATGAACTCTTGATTGAATTTCCATGTTATCCAACTCCGAAGCAACGTTTAATGATCGGTTATTATTCTCAGAAGATTCAGTGATCAACGACTCAGAAATAGGTTCTCTTCTATGATGATGACGATGACCGCGTCGATGAGAGGCACGTGCCACACCAGGATTAGAAGGACGTCTACCAGCTGCATCTGGATTTAAATTCGATTGTGAATTTGAAAATTCTTGACCGAGATCAGTGTATTCTGTATCCGAAGGAAGTACATCAGTAGACCATGTATCACTGACAGTAGATCTGGTCTCATCTAAACATAGGAAATACATTTACTATAAATCCCCCCTATTATAACATCAATCAACATACAATAAGAGGATATATGGTTTTTTAGAAATAATTTTGCTGATAAAATATTGCGCATGTTTTACAACTCGGAGAATACCAAAAATATATATTCCTAATATTTTATATTGAACCTGAATAAAATCTGATGCTAGTTCAATCGGCGTACTAATAATCACAAACGTATCAGATATGGTACAACAACTCAGATGCTCATAAACATAAAACGCACAAAGTAGTGACTTTGATTAGTGCACATTTTTTGCATTGAATGTGAAACCATGGATTGTTAAGTTGAAACTTAAAGATATTAGAGCTATAATTCAGAATGACAAGCAATCACCTTCACTCCCAATTTAAACAACTCCATACGTCAAAGTTTTTACCTCTCGAGATGCTTCTTTCTATTTTATACACCGACTTAGTGAGACGAACTATGGGGAGCTAAGAAGTGCACTTTGAATCTGCAGTAATAAATTAGATTCATATATAAATAATATATACACTCAAACAAATGAACAAAAAAGCTTACTCTCTGTCATTCGATTTGGAGGTAAGTCGAATTTATTAAACTTTTCAGTAACGTCCGGTGTACAGTGCCTTTGAAACATCGTTGTCGGAAAATCATTAGGAATACATCGTGTAAGTCCTAAATGGGTTGCATTGGATGGCAGTGTTGTTCCAGTAGGAAGGATAAGACCAGATGGAGAAAACATCCCTGATGCACGATAATTATTTTCCGTACCATGGATGATTGACTGAGTCAACTGACCCCCACGAGAGGTTGCACTAGTTAAAGATAGCGGTGTTACACGGCCAGATATATTTGCTGATGAAAGAGGTAAATCAGAAAGAGCGTCTTCTTCGTCCCTTGGATAACTAGACTGTTCATCGATTTGTGTTTCAATCTGATCGCTGGTAATATCAACATCTTGCGATTCAACGTTTTCAGGGATTGGATCCGGAATAACATCTTCGCCTAAACGTACTCCACATGATGAACATGTTAATAAACTGGACTGCTCATCAACTTCTCTAACATCAGTATGATCATGTGAATTTTGGTATGATTGTATGAATGATGAATTCAGATGACATGAAGACGAAGCAGTACTATGCTGAGAAACTGCCGCTCCTATTAAACCGCTGTCATTGTCACTGTCACTTGATGCGCTATCTACTGAGAAACTAGAAGTACCTATTTATAAACAATAAAAATGAAATAGAATCCAAGTGTTATATCTGGGGTACGTCACCGTCACTGTAATGAAAATGTGAATTACTGAGGAGTCCAGTACTAGGATGAAACGGCCTTCTAATACTACTAAGTTTTCAATGGTGGTCTAACAATCTCCAATAGTCAGTCAGTCAGTGAGTTGCAACGTAGAACTTCGTACGTATGTACATAAGTCCATGTTGCCATACCACATTAGCACAGAGACGCAAATGTCAAATCAAATCCCATAGTGAGATAGATAGTAGAGGTATTAATGGTAATGAAGAAGAATAGGGTTCGAAGATATTATTCAAGAAATATAATTCAGTGAGATAAGGTTAGAAGACAAAGGTAGAGGTGCTGACGAATCCAGAAGATTAGGATTTCAGAGAGCTCAAAAAATGGATGCACTTGAGCCATCGAAAACGATTTTGAGTCATGTCGTTCAAGGTCTCTAACCATTGGTGACTTTCGTCTCCAACAACCGAATACTGACAAAAGCAGATTGTTTGAGAAAAAATAAAACCTGATTATTAAAATATTACATTAGTACGGAAACAATATATTATCTGTATGTGCTCCAAACAGATGACTCTGCAACACTAATCTCAAGACAACCAAAACCTTGACACATACGATCTGAATAGTTTTTCTTGAATCAGACAGTTCAGTTTCATGTCAATTTGTGCTGTTTATAACGACGTTCCACTGCTCACATGAAACGTCTACAGTATCAAAGCAGTAGATCAAGATGAATTAACTAATAGTTTTTGAAAGTTGTAACGGGTACACTAGCAGCAATTTTTCGCAACTCAACACAATATATATATATATATATATATATATATATATATATATATATATTCGTAAGTCTTTGGACTCACCTTGACCTTCATTATCCTGGTTGGAAGTACTTGTGAGTTTTTGAGAGTGCCGACGTACACGATGAGCTGGAAGTGCAGAGATGCCAGTAGATACACACAAAGAAGTAAGGGAAGAACATCGAGGGTGAATCGTAGATTTATTATCACTTAGTAACATTTTGTTTGGTACAGGTATGATTGAACCAAAATCGAGGTTAGATTTATGCCCATCAAACTTGTATTTCTTTTCGGTCAATGAATTTGAATGATTGATTAAACCAGACTGAGAGAGATCAATTGAACTACACCTAACAACTGAAGAGTGAACAAGGGATCTTTTATTATCACAACTTGTTTCTGATATTTTAGACTGAACCGTAAACCCATGGCTAGGCATAAAAACCGAATTTCCAAACCCTCGAACTGTCGTAACAACAAAAAACGAGACATCAATTAAATCATATTAAATGTCCTTTTGAAATAATAAAATTAGTTCGACTATTTAAAAAAAAATTGTCAGCGTGAAGTATTCAATCTTATTTATTTAAAAGGACATTGATATCTCACTTTATTATTATTTCCCATTGATAAATTTGGCGAATATTTCCTAAACAGTGACTACAATGAGAAATGAAAAAAAAGCCTAAATACCCGTAAGCCTTTGCCTATCGCAACTGAATCTGTTTCCCATGAGCGTAAACTACATATGTTGGATAATCTTTGATGTATTTTTTTTAAAAATAAGGTTTGATTAAATTATTTGCAGTGAGATCAACAGTATGCATTAGCATGTATTTAACCGATTCGGGAAAAAATATAACGTATGCTTATGATATAAACTATGAAAATTCAACCATCTCCTCAACCTCCCCCTTATGCCGTGACAAGTGGAGTTCTATTATGTCAAATGTAAGACAACCACCAACTTCGAGCAGTGGAGGATAGTTGTGCAATATCGATAATTCATTGGCGTTAGACAACAGAAACTGTTGGAGATTGAAACAGTGATCTAGAGGTTAAGCACTCGCGCGTGATCCCCAGCGGGGTCACGGATGTGAGCTACAGAATAGTCGTTTACTTAAGATGAAACAACTATCCAATGCTTCCTGGTTTTCGATTACTGTCTAACTCAGATCACTTAATGATATATATTATAGGGATTCAGTAATCTCTACAAATCTGATATACCAATGTGCTTATAAGTTCACTTCCAACACGAGTAGAATAGTGGATATAAACCGTTACGTACTATTTTCAAATCAATATAAATAGTTTTTCTACTTCGTAACATAAACAATTAAAAACTAACCGGGTTTAGAGATCGTTTCAAACCTTTTTAAGTAGTAACTGCTTTGACAAATGGCATGAATAACAGTTATAAAGGGAGTTCAAAACAGCAGTTGATCAACAAAAGATGAGAAATGAAAATAAAGCTTGCTCATTCACTTAATGCTCTGAGGTTGTGCTTTAGTACTTTAAGCACTTAATTCGTCTGAGGAATCTGGGTAGTACTATTATCCTTAACATAAAGTGTGGCCTCAAGTCCACTAAATAAATTTCTTAATTAAGATCCACGAGATAGCCGCGGCCAATATTTAGAAACAATAGATGATATAGACCTGAATCTATTATATTGATTTCAAAGCGTTCATTCTTTATCTTCTTCTAGATCTAGAGCTTTAGTATTCATTCATGCATACTTAAACATTCCATCCTCTCGAACCATAATCTCAATGATTGATCTGCATCACTATCATTGCTACTATGATTATTTAAACTCATTTGCCATTCATTACGCTAATTTCATCTAATCGTACTGATGAAGTACAGCTCATTGGGGAAATTACTGACTGATTAATAATAACGTTACATCACATATAAAACCCAAGACAAGAAATGAGTTAATACATTAACAACAGGAAAAATCAGAGAACAAAAGTTAAGAACGTAAATCAATATTACCTGAAGTATTACTAGGCACAACTGACACAGAAAATCGAGTACGTTTTTCGATCCCACGAGACAATGAACTACATGCCACATAATGTGTTGTGCGGTCGTTGATGCCTTCATTCTGTGAATTGCTGAAACTATATTTTGGGGAAGCTGGCGGTGAAAATGAAGAAACATGTGATAATGAGTTAACTGAAGGGCCAGAGACTGAAGTAGGATGGGATGTTCCTTGATTCAATTGTAAATCACTCACATTTTTATTTCGTAATGATTCATCCACAGATGTTGCTGTTTCTAAACGTCGTCCGAGAGCACAAGCACTGCTAGCTAAACTTGTACACCCACTTGGATCAGAGTTTTGTGAGGCAGTTTCATCACTAGAACGCTGACCAGTCAAAAAGCGATCCTGAGAAAGGCCTATCGATGAGTGCTTTTGCTTTTGTAAGTTATTGGTAAAATCATCCAATGGGGAACAATGAGATTCAAATGTATTACAATGTCCATTCCCCGTACTAAAATACAAAATAATATCAAATCATTTATTAAACGTACTCCCACAACAGACATTATATGTCCATTATAATTAACAACCTCGATGTGAATGACTTCTTATCCCTTATGAACCACTACGCTTGGTAACTCAATTATTGAAAAGCCTTTTTTTCTCAATCTTTACTGTTCTGTAGTGCTAGAATTTGTTTTAATATGCAATATACCAAGACAAACGCTAAACTTGGATATAAATAGCGGAAGACAGAGCAATAAAAATAATGAAGTCAAAATAGTAATCAGAAAGAAACTGGTACATTCCCTAATTTTTCGTGACCTTCCGAAAGCTTGCGATTTACATGGTTTAAATGTAAAGCGATGTCCTAAGGTGTAAATAAATAACTTACATGTTTCCTTTTATTGGATTTATGTTTCTAAAGAATCTCCTCTTCATAAGCTTCTGGCTATTTTAATGAACATTGGAGGGTGACAACAGAAGTTTCAAAAACAAAAAGTAAAGTCAGGTAACCGAATCAGTGCTTTGTTGATTGCGCTAGAGAACCAAATACTCATTGAATCTTAATCTTATTTTGATTGTCAACCTGAATTTGGTCCAACTATCGATTGAATGAAGAGTAAAAAAACAGTTAGATGGTCACATAAGTGATTATCAACCCGAGGCAGCTTGGAATGATAGACGTTCGGAAACTCATCCCACCTGGATCTGAACATGATGATGAGAGAAGACAGCTTAAGCACAGACTGATAAGAACCCTACACAATGATCGCAAAGTGGTGGGTAGCGACAACAAGAGCGATGGGAAAGGCAGCGTCGACACGCAACAGTAGACAACAGTTCCGACTTATCAAAGAATCCGGTATTAGAAACCCATCAGTTAGCGAGACTGTCTCAGAAAAAGATCGATGGGAAAAACACTTCAGATATCAGTTCAATTAGCCTTCAGTCACACATCGGTTGCCTACGATCCCCAGTCATCCTGAATGACAAATCGATGTAAGTCCCCCGAGTCTTTATGAAGTTGAGAAAGCCATAGGAAATCTGAAGTGGGGGACAGCAGCAGGGCTTGATAGGCTAAGCCCTGAGACTTTTAAGGATGGTGGTCCATTTTTAACAGTTAGATTGAACGAGATCTTACGTAGAATCTGGGAACTAGGAGTAATCCAATCTGACTGGTTTCAATCACTGATTATCCCACTCTGTATAAATGGGCCGACGTCCTCTTGTGACAACCAAAGAGCAATCAGTTTAAAAAATAGTGTCTAAATTGTTAAGCTTGATAATACATAGACGTCTAACTAGAGCTTGTGAACACCAGATTCGAGAAAACTAGGCTGGTTTCAGACCTGGACGTGGCCCTATGGACCAAATATTCACTCTTCGTCAGGTCTTAGAATCCATGAAGTCACTGACAAGTGGACTGAGTCATGTCGGTAGGTGCCGACTACCTGGTTTGGGCCCGCGAGATGAGAGTAATAAATGGATGGAGACCCTGAATGACATTGTTCAAAACCGTTTGTAATGGTGCAGGTGCATTCATTCTTTGAATTCTCTCAAATTCTAACCTTTTGAATTCCTCATCAACTTTATCTGTCTCTTCTCAAATTTATTTCACTGGATTCTAATTCTTGAATAATATCCCCGAACCCTAATCTCTCCGGTTACTGCTAATACGTCTACTAACTCTACTACTATTGGATTTGAATTAACAATCGCATTTTTGTGCTAATGTGCTATGGCAACGTGAACCGATGTACGTGAGAACGAAGTTCTATGTTGCAACTGACTTCACTGACTATGTAGCTAGGTCTCTCTGATTCTAAACGGATGATTATTTTAGTGATAAAATAGAGTAAACTTTGTTCGAACATGTTCAAAAGTAAATGGAAAACTTACTTGGCATTCCCAATGACATGAATTCCATTGACAGGATTATACAGACCAAAATGTGGATGACTTGATCCATCAGTTCCACTACCTACGCCAGTATGCTGAATGTCCTTTAAAGCAAATTTCCTGATTAAATTTGAACAAGCATGATTCATTGTAACATCTGCATCATCAGCATGAGAACTCGTAGATCGGTCCACCAAATAATCGGTTTTACTTTTATCAATACCCATTTTCCATGACCGATCGATTTTACTTTCCGGAGGTATCTTGTGATGATGAGAGTGTTCATATGGATTTAGATCAAATGAATAGACAATTTCCGAATTTTCATTATTAGAACTAACGCTTTTCCCCGATAGACTTGAATTTTCCACGTCGGCATTATCATTATGAATGTCTTTGGAATGACTAGAAGAGTTATGTTTTCCAGTTAATAAACGATTTAATGAACGACTGCGTCGCCTTAGCGGTGATGGTGTACTACTGCTTGATCTTTTAATTTCACGGGTTAGAGTTTTAGTAGCATTATTTTCTGATATATCAACCAAAATGGCAGACATAACGTTTTTGCCTGAAAAAATATAAAATCATTTACGTACAATAAAATCCTCTTGTTGATCCACCCTTATTCTAACGATACCTCTCTTTGGTTTTATCAGCTCTAATCACAAGTTAAAACGATTACATGAAAGACGTTGTAAAGATACCATAACTATATTTCTATACAAATTTACGTTGCAAATCTACACAACCAAACATTTAAATTACTATGGAAGTTTTCACCATACAGATTTACTACGACCTAAAACCTCTTTAATTCAACTTTTTAAACAGTATCTACGGTAATCACTAGATTTATAAAGATATTTTTTCCTTTCTAGCAGTTTAACAACATATCGGATCATCGAAACTGAAACTCAAATAGGTAGCCCTTTAAACAAACAAATAAGTGTGCTTATTGATTGGAAACAAAAAAGCACATCATGAGTTACAATATGATCAACTGGATGAACCTGTCTCGAACACAGAAACAGCTGAACAATGGGCTAAAAACACCCATCTGTGCTTGCCTTGCTACATATAATAATGCAAAAAACTAGAAGACTTATTAGATCCACAAAATATTACGGCATGTAGTTGCTGGGTACGTATAAATTTATGCTGCTCCTACAAATAAAACGACCAATTAGTTTGATAAAACATTTGAATGTCTTATGACATAATGGAATAACAATAATAGCCAGTATTATTTTATACTCTATTCGCCTGATACTTTAGCATTACTTATACGGTGGTCAGAGACATCAACAGTTGAAGACATATCAGCTGAAAGATATGCATCAAACATGAATGAAGTAAAATTCACATAATAAAAAGTTATATATCTAAACATCTACAGCCAGACTAAAGCCAAAGCAAGATCAATATAAAAGAATTGGCCATCTGTTTTAACCATCACATTTGAGTCGCTTATATCAAAAAACCTGAAGCAAGATAATTCACGCGGTACTTGGTACATCGAGACAATCTTTAAAGCTAATTCAGTCAGTCAGTTACAATGTAGAACATAGTACGCACGTACATCAGGTCAAGTTGTCATTCCCTATTAGCACAGAGAGATGAAACTTTCAGGCTAAATCCCCGAATATTAGAAGTAGTACTGGTCTTAGTGGTAATGGAAACAATCAAAGATAGAAGATACAATTCAAGAAAATAATCACTGAAATAAGAAAAATTGTAAATGGAATACAATATATAGACTTTGAGGGAGGAAAAACAATGGATGTACCCACGCCATTACAAACAGTTTTGCGCGATGTCATTCAAAGTCCCTAACAACTGGTTACGATTACCTTTTATCATGCAAAGTGACTAAGATATGCGAGAAGGATTAGTAATGGGGTAAGAAAGTTAAAAGGCGGGAGTGGGATTTGATCTTGAACAATACAATCTCGTGTGTTGCTTGTGGTATGGTGGCGGTTGTCACTTCTCGATCAACAACACCGTGAAAGGATATTTATTCTGAGGGGACCTGAAAAGAAAGCTGTTGTACTGTTCTTCTTAGTGACCTAAATGTGTAATCAGGGAGCTCAACGGAGGAATGAGTGAGGTTGGTCACGAACGGCATTTTAAGGAGACGCTTTTGAAGTGTTAGATCTGCTGTCCAAATTGCCTCGCCACCGGAGACAGAAATCCGTGGGATAAAGTGAGGTGTGACATTTTTAGTGCTGACCTTTTACAACCCCTTCCTTCCTTGTGAGAAGGCAGCATTGCTGCGAAAGGTGGTTATCTAAAGGAAACACCTTACTCCTATCACAACCCTCTATAGTCAGTAGTACGACTTCACCCTCAGACTTTAAGTTGCTGCTTTTAATCTTACCATCCTCCAACCGGCCAGCATGGCATGATCGAACTTGAAGGAACGTGTGTTCTAGTCAATAAAGCTCGGTTGGGTCATCACGATAGGCAAACCTTATCACCACGTCAAGATAGCAACTACAGTCAGACAATGTTGATAGAATTCTCTAGTTTATATTACAACCAGCCTCACCAGTATACACTGTACCTCTTAAGACGTGAATGTGAAGGTTAACCAAATGAATGAGAAGAATGCGCAGACAGAGCTGGGGTGATCCGATTCAACAAATCAAGTTATAATATCGTCCGAGCTCCACAGTGAGTGTCAAATCCCCCAAGATTGCAGGTAAACCCTGCCGGTGAGTGTCAACTAAGTTTTCCCCCAGACTAGCCCCAACCACTGAAGATCAAAAAACCACCATCAGCTTTACAGCTTACTAAACGAAAAACATAAAAATCGATTAGGAAGAAAATACCTGAGCTTGGTGAGTCTCCAGATGAAGCATTATCCGTAGATAGTTCTACTCCCATTGTAGCACCTGGAACATTATGCGGTAAAAGATCAATTATTTTGAAAGATTGGTAAGAGTTCGGATTCTGTCGTAAGAATATACGAATGCACCCAATCTACAAGCAAGAAATATGACAACCATGGGATTAAAAATGTAATAAACTGAAAAATGTAATAAACGAGCGTGAAATGTTCCCTATTTATTAATTATAAATTCGATGGTCAGTTAGTCGCAGAACCCGTCATAAATATGTGTCGGTTGAAGCTACCACATCACATTGGCAGAGATAAAATAATCACGAAAAATCCTAACGCGGATGTAGTATTAGCACCAATAGTAGTAGAAACAATGAGATATAAAAGGATAAGTATAAAGAGAAGTCAGGACACAGGATCTAACGAAAGACAAAGAATGAATGCCACTGAACCATTGAAAACAATTATGAACCATGTCACCCGAAGTCTCTAACCACTGGTTACGACCATAGTGCGGAGTAGTCTAACAATCAGCGATCCTGATCTCAATTGAGCTAGAATCCACTTACTATACCTTAAATGCAAAATATCACTCTTAAGCAGTGGTCATCATCCAACATTTTGTGAAGATCAACTGTTATTGGTTTAGTTATGAAAATACTCCAGAAATTAAGAAACAACGGTTAACAGTGACCAAGAACAAAGTTGATAAACAAGCCACTTAATCAGTCAGTCAGTTGCAACGTAGAACTTCGTACGTATGTACATAAGTTCATGTTGCCATACCACACATTAACATACAGAGATGCAAATGTCAAATCAAATCCCATAGTGATAAAGATAGTAGAGGTATTAATGTTAATAAAGAAGACTAGGGTTCGAAGATATTATTCAAAAAATATAATTCAGTGAGATAAGGTTAGAAAGACAAAGGTAGAGGTGCTGGCTAATCCAGAAGATTAGGATTTGAGAGAGCTCAAAGAGTGGATGCACCTACGCCATTGAAAACGATTTTGAGCCATGTCGTTCAAGGTCTCTTACCATTGATGACTTTCGTCTCGCGGACCCCAACCAGGTAGTCGACATCTACCGACATGACTCAGTCCACTTGTCAGTGACTTCATGGATTTGTGCCATGTTTTGGTTTGGCCGCCCCTAACTTTCTTCCAACCTACTCCTACACCACAAAACATAGCTCGTCGGGGCAGTCGGTGGTTAGGCATACGTAACACATGTCCCAACCACCTCAACTGATGAAGTTTCACCACTTCATCTATTGATCTGCCATCCTTACCTAGTACTCGTTTCCTAACGACAGCATTGCTTACTCGGTTGTCCCACGATATACGAGCAATGCTTCTTAAACATCTATGATCGAATACTAGTAACCTACGAACATCTTCTACTCTGACTGGCCATGTTTCACAGCCATATAGGAGAACGGAGCGAACTGCTGCACAGTACACTCGTCCTTTGATTAGAGAACGGATATCACGCCTACGCCATAAGTGACGCAGGTTGGCAAAAGCCAATCGAGCTTTCTGTATCCGAGCTGAGATTTCGTCAGTCACCAGACCGTCAGCACTGATGAGACTCCCCAGATAAGTGAAGTTATCAACACGCTCGACTACTTCACTCCCTATCACTAGTTCAGGTGCCAATGCAACCCAGTCTTGAAGCAACATTTTGCATTTCGAGGGGGAAAACCGCATCCCGAACATGCTCGCATTGTTGCTTATGGTAGTCAGAAGACTCAGCATTTTGTCAGCGTCTTCACCGAATAGAACTATGTCATCGGCATATTCTAGATCAGTAAGCGACTTTCCTGGTAGGTCAACCCCTGAAAAATCTGATGAGCTTAATGTTAACTCTAAGAGGATGTCTACGACAAAGTTAAACAAGAATGGAGAAAGTGGACAGCCCTGACGGACACCACTTGATGTAGAGAATTCAGATGACAGTTCGCCATAAGCTCTCACCCGACCAGTGGTGTTCGAGTAGAGTGCTTGTATAAGGTTAATGTACTTCTTTGGTACACCTTTCAATGACAGACACTGCCACAGAACCTCACGATCCACTGAGTCAAATGCCGCCTTAAGGTCCAGGAACACGACTATTGTCGGTCGTCTAAATGTGTGTCTGAGTTCCAGGACCTGTCGTAATGTGAAGATGTGGTCTATACAACCACGTCCAGGTCGAAAACCAGACTGGTTTTCTCGAGTCTGCTCTTCACGAGCTCTAGTTAGACGTCTAAGTATAATCGAGGCTAACAATTTAGAAACTATATTAGTTAAACTTATTCCCCTGTGATTGTCACAAGAGGACTTCTGTCCTTTCTTGTAGATTGGGACAATTAGCGACTGAGACCAGTCAGATGGGATTACGTCCATTTCCCAGATTCTACCTAGGATCTCGGTCAGTTTAACCGTTAGAACTGGACCACCATCCTTAAACATCTCAGGGGTAAGCCTATCGGGACCTGCCGCTCTACCTCTCCTTAGATTTCCTATAGCTTTCTCAACTTCATGTAAACTGGGAGGACTTAAATCGATTTGCCATTCAGGATGACTGGAGATCGTGGGCAACCGAAGAGGA